TCAGCTTCTCAAATGTGAAGATTTGCTGCTTTTCTCCGTTTTATATAACTGTAAAATATAAATATCTTTGGATTTTGGCAGGTTGTTGAGACAAAACAAGTAGTTTGAAGACCTGACCTCTGAGAGAATATGAGTATTTTGAAGACTTAACAATCAATAGATAAATCGATAATGAAAATAAGTTTAGTTGCAGCCCCATCATGTAAATCACAACACCTGCTGAGCTCACATGTGAACAAATGCACCTCCACCACACTGATGAAGGAAGGCCATGTGACACAGTCTCAAAAGATACCAAGTGGACCTAAAGGGATTGGGATTGTTTTGTCATAATTATGCCACATTCATCTCATAATACAAAATCAGACCTGAACAGTAGATTCAGAATTTGGCAGCGTGACCAGGGCCTCTGAGTCTCTGGGTCACAGGAGACAAACGGTCTCCATGGTGCAGCCTGCTGGCACAATGATCTGGCATAAAGCTGGTTATCTATCTGAACAGCTGAGCGGATGATTCAACACGCACACACACACATGTATCTGCAGAGGAAACACCATTATAGTGTGATTTAACGCTGCACTGCTGGAGGATTTGTCCGTGTGTTGGTGGGCCGCCCGCAGACACACTTTAAACACATTTCCATTCAATTGAAATGAAAACAATGCAGATGTCTGGATGAGCCCGCTGCAGGGGCCTCCCTCCCTGCACGGGCATCCACTTGGCACGATGATATCACACAGCTAGCCCGCTGGTGCAGCTGTAACGCGAGCGTGCTGATAAATGACAGCACTGCATGGCGCATTGGAGACGCTGTAAAGTTTAAAAGGACAGCGTGCGGTGCCGCGCGTTCAAGCCGCCTTACCTGGGGATGCAGTTCGGGGAGGATCCGTCTATCTCCCATGTGGCAAACAGGTTCATGGGCACCGGTCTGTTGAGAGCTCCGCTCCCGGGGAAGCTCAACCGGCCACTTCTCTCCGCCATGGTTCGGGCTGCGGCTGCGGCTGCTGGGACTGTCCGACACCGAGCTGGGGGGTGGGGGGTTGTAAACAGCAGACCGGTACGAGGGTCTTCTGTGCGCGCGCGTTTGTGTGTGTGTATGCGTTAAATAGAGCCGTGACACGCTCACGTCAGTGCGATGTGAACGGCGGAGGACGAGTTCATTTCTCCGTCCTTGTTTACTGGGCCGGGCAGGTCGGTGTGGTCCTTGTGTACCGCGGAGGAACTGCAGTGGAGCAGCGCAGGAGTGAACGGACCGATCGCTGAGCTTGTTGTGCCAACCACGCTGCTCCGGGGGTATGAGGGGTGATTAGTGCCACACAGAGAGGGGCGGAGGAGAGCCAGGAAAAGCCAGCATAGCCTACATACAAATCTTAGTTAAATTTGAAGTAGCTTCCTTTATAGTGGTTTACAATCTTCATGTGACGAATAATAATAATATTTATTTTTTTCCCTTTGATTATTAGTAGTATTAACCTCCTGCTGTTTGCTTAGAAGTAGTAGCCGATTCAGATCTTTTATTTTGGCAAAATTAGTAATACCAGAGTGTAGAAATACTCTGTCCTGCATTCAGAACTTTACAAGTAAAAGTACAAACGTATAAGCATTGAAATGTACTGAAAGTACCAAAGCTAAAAGTAAATTATGCAGGAATGGCCCATTGTATATGCAGTTGGTAAAGGTGGAGCTAATTGCAATACTTTATCACAATCAGAATCAGCTTTATTGGCCAGGTATGCAAACGCATACAGGGAATTTGACTCCGGTTTTTACGTTGCTCTCAATGTACACAGAAATTACAAATAACACAATGCAGCCTACTGCCCGGATTAAAGATTTAAAAACTACAATCCTGTCCTCAAAAATGTATTGGAGTGGGAGTATTAAGTAGCATCAAATGAAAATATTCAACTTGGTAGAAAAATCAGTTCAAATGTGTCAGAAAACCATCCTGTTATAAAGAGATGTTCTCATTATAATAATAAACTGAGCAGATTTCTTTCTTAAAGCAGCACTCATTTCTACCTGCCACTGCTCTCAGTCTTCTTCAGCTGGCCCTTGCTTGGGCATTAACCACCCCTCATATATTCCCCCCCAGGAAAAACGTCATTGACGGTCTCTCCAAACTGCATTTCTGCCCATTTCTGTGGCAGGTGCATCGGGTGCAGGTCTGGGCGGATCCATGGGCACGAGCTGTGTCGCCGAATCGATTCCCCAAATGTATTACTGCATAGTACTCAGACACACAGGTGCACTGCTGCAAAATCACCCTCCTTTAATTGTCACTGTGCTGCTTTAAAAAAAAAAGGTTAAATCCTCTCCTTATTGTGCAATTTGGTGTACATTTTTAATAACAAACTTTTACAAACTATACTGTTCCCACACCAGACAACAATTTTCAAATGATGAATGAATAAATTAATATTTATTACGATAATGAACACTGATAACTCGTATTTATTATGCACACAGCCTTGTATTCTGGGGTTTGACGACAAGCAGGTACTGCCACCGTGTGGTGATCCGTGTAGTTGACGTTGAGGCCCTGAAGAACACAATTTCACATAAATAACCCTGTCGTGTTTTGCAACAAGTTTAACTCTTGCTTTTGGGAGGAGGAACCTTTCACCACCAAGGTCTTCAGCACTGCATGACATGGATTTAGTCACTTTAAGGATTAATACGAGTTGATAAACTGTTCATATTAATCCATGTCCAGTGGCGGCTGGCCAATAGAGGGCCATGGGGCGTGGCCCCGCCTTGAGCCGCGAGCGCGAGCGCCAGCGCGAGCACTACTCCTCCAAGACCCGTTTGAGAGGAGAACTGTGGCGGAGATTCTGCAGGCCAAAGAGCTGATCCCAGATCAGCCTGACCTCACAATCAGACAAGCAGACTAGCGGGAAAGGGATGCAGTACATGCGAAGCTTCTCTACTATCTGTACACCAGACAGGTTTGGCTAGCTGGATGACGTTATGCTAATAACTTATTTAGCTTTTTAAAACAACGGGGACAGATCCAGCACGGACAGTTAGGGAGTGAGGGATGAGGAGGTAAGGAAACATGAGAACACCAAGGCACACATGGAGAACTCTGTCAAGCTACATATCAGGCAAAGTGAACATCTGTTCTTCTACATAGCTGTCCTCAGTCTCATCTGCTTAACGTGGTCATGAAGGCGTCAACATGTAATTGAGATGTTAGATTAACAGTGAAAACTCATCATAGCTTAATTTAACATCAGTATTCATAATTACACTTCATGTTTACTTCTCCTGATCTTTACCTCCTATAACAAGGTCCATAGGGGCATCTCAATAAATAAACATGTTATATTATATTGTATTATATATATATATATATATATATATTATACTGAATAAAAATAAGATGTCCTGACGTGTTTATCAAAGTGTTATATACTGCTTATTTTCGTGTTAGAATAAATGTTAAATATTTAACTGCAAAGTAGTAATGCTTGTTTGATGCCTTAATTTTTTGCATTAAATCATACTGGGATGTTTGCTGAAATTGATTGGATGGCCCTACCTAGAAAATGTTCCACCAGCCGCCACTGCTTAATACTCTTGCTCTAATACTTTTCCTTTTTTATCTGGAACTATTGTCAAGGAAAACACAGTTTACTCATTCGTTTTTGAACTTACATCTCTGACCCCCAAAACAATTCTAATATGTTTTTTTGCCCTGGACTTCCACCTTTTTCTATTCCAGACATGCTGGCTGACCCTCTGGGCTACCCCCTACAGGACCCTTCAGCTGCTCCCTTGCAGCCAACAACAGTACAGCCCCGCCAACCTGCCCTTCTCCCTCTATGGCTCTCCACCCTCCTCCACCTCCTCTCCATCCTCCTCCTCTTCGCAGCCCTGCCATCCTCCGTACCACTACAGCCCTCATTGCCTGGAGGCCCCCTGTGATCCCAGCCTTGAGCCCCACTGCAGGGTCCAGGCTCAGGGGCTCGGAGTGGTAGGACTGCCCCTGGGGCGGAGAACACGGGTGGTGTCGGGTGGAAAGAGCAGGGGTCAGGAAGAGCTGTGCGGCTGACTCGGCACTGGTGGATCATGGCGCTGTTGTACTCCACCTGGACAGACTTGCGGATGCTGGACTGGCGGCCTTATGCGACCTCCCATTATGCGGAGCTTGTCCGCTGAGTCGTTTGCACTCAAGGGTGTCACCGTGTCATGTGGAAGCCACTGCCTAGAGTACTAAAGATAGAGATTGAAGATAACCACTTTCACTGATTCAGACCTACAATGCCTATAAAAAGTATTCACCCCCCCTTGGATGTTTTCCCCTTTTGTTGCTTTTATACATGAAATCACGGTCAGTATAATTTGGCTTTTTTGACAAGAATTTTCATGTCAAAGTGAAAACAGATTTTTACAAACTGTCAATTAATTAAAAATGTATAGTGTAAAATAAGTGTTTGGATAAATATTCACCCCCTTTAGTGCAGAAAATGTGATTTAGACAATCAAAATATTATAGTATAATAGATTTGTTTTTTTCGTCAGCTTATCGACTAATTGTTTCAGCTCAAACAAGTAGTTTAATTCATAACAAAGAAACATTTCATAAACTCTTAGTATGTTTGGAAAGGTCTATTACAGGCTGTCAAGTAAAAGTGGAGTAGAAGTATGAAGTAGAATGAAAAGACACAAGTACCGTAAATTTGCACAAACGGTACGTGAGCTGGTGTACTTCGTTACAGTCCAGGTAAGAAAAACTGAACACTCCTTAATTTGTTTCGGATACACTTTCCAAAAATGTTAAAGCGCTCCACGAGGTACATCTGCATCAAGCTCTCAGGCCTGTCACCTGTGTTTATCAATTGTCCACCAGTACAATTCACTGTGCTTTTTCATATACGGCATATACGGCTGGTTGTTTTCTATTCAACCACTAGTTTAGTTTCGATGCAAAGTTGAGATATATATCCAACAACTCTGTAAATAAGTTTAAATTATGTGTATTGCAATTCATTTGTAGTCCTTCAATCATTTTGGTTTCAACTTGTGTGTCAATATCCACCGATTAATTATTCTATAAACATTTGAGTTCGAAAACTATGTAGGCATTGCTTGAGCAGAGTGACAGAAGCTCATTTGTGATAATTGCAAGAAAGAATGAACATCGGCTCACAGATTTAACAGTTTGTGAAAACTTTATTCGGTTGAACTGCAAAAACTTTAATATTTGAGTCAATCGAACCACATTCACAAAACATCAAAAAAAAAAAAAAAACTGTTCTTTCTGAACATTACTAAAAAAATTAAATGACAATATGCAGTGAGAGTTTTATTAGTATCAAATTAATAAAGTTATTTAGAGACATTTCTTCCTGCTGTGTACAGACTCAACACGCTTCAGACCGAGGCTGCAGTTAAAGTTAATAAAAAGCAAAGATGAATCACAACACGAGACGAGGTCCTGATACAGCAGAACTGAATAAAATGAATGCCAGATTCCAACATCATTACACAAGAAAGCTGAAGTAAACCACAATCTGAGATGCTTCCATTATTCTGTTCACACAGCAGGGCAGTGAATACAACACGTGTAGATCATCAGAAGCAGAATCACAGTTTCACGGCAATGCCAGGCGCCAGCGTTGCAAAAAAAACAAAAACAAAAAAAACCACCCATCGACACTTTGGGGAACAAATACCATTACCAGTAACTGCTGTGAACACCCGCAGAGCACAGGGGAGCGGATGGAATCAGAACATTGCAGACAGCTAGGACAGTATCATCACTGATCAAAAAGTCACTCTGCTAAATAGAAAAGGGGGTTTATGAGGGGGCAAAAAATGAATAGGAACACAAACATTTTCCTGTCATCCAGGAAACTCATCAAAAAAAAAAAAAAAAAAAAAAAAAAAACCTAAAATAAATCAAAGCCAATGAGGGCACAATAATGACTGAAGATGGCGTTTCAAAAGAAGCCATGTAAATGGGGATTTCCTCCCCTTTATTAAAAGGAAACAATAAATCACATGCCACCATACAGGTCTGTGGTGAGCAACTATCAGTCTATTTTACGGCCAACAGGTGCACCGGTCTCAGTGCTTGCTGTCTGCAGAGGCGGAGCGGGAGCGTGAACGAGAACGAGAGCGTGAACGAGAGCGAGAACGGGAGCGGGACTGCTTGTTCTGAGCAGGAACAGGTGAACGGGGGGAGCGGGATCTGGAGCGGGACTTAGACCGGGACTTGGAGCGAGACTTGGAGCGAGACTTGGATCTGGAGGGGGATCTGCCTGACGCCCTGCCCCCTCCGGATGTCTTCTTCTCTGGGGTGCGACTCATAGACCTGGAGCGGCTCCTGGAGCGGTTGCGGCTCCTGGAACGACTCTTTGAGCGCGAGTAGCTGCGGGAGCGGGAGCGGCTCTTGCTGTGGCTGTTGGAAAAGAGAAGTCATTTTAAAATGCATCCTGTGGACGTGTGTTTTTGTGTGTGTGGGGAGTCTGGTATTGACAGATCTCTACAGCTGTCCCAAACTGTTCTGGTTGGTGTGAATGGTTTGATTACTGGTGGGAAATACAACCAGTGCACAATAAGTGATTAAAGAATTTAAGATTAAGGGCAAACAAGAACAGGTCAAAAAGATATCTTTAAAATATTCCCAACATATTGATCTGTTCCTGTACCAGCCCCTCAAGATGTTGACATGTGAGGAATTGTCCAGTTTACTAATTTTAGGTTTTCGACATGATGGTACAAGAGTGCAAAAAAATATGTAGCACACGAGTCTTAAAGAATATGTGTAAAAACCAACTCACCTCCTGCTGTCTTCAAAGATCTTAAGCTTGCGTCCATTCAGCTCTGAGCCATCGAGCTTGGAGATGGCGTTCTTCAGGTCACTGCGGGATGCAAACTCAACCACTCTGCACAACAGAAACAATCGTTAGGCACCAGCACCAACCCCGAGGACAACGACCATTTAAACAGTTTAATAGAAAAGCAACTCACCCTTCATTTTTGTTGGGCCTGTGTGCGTCCACAAAGGTAACTTCACCTGCTTTTCTCATCAGGTCTTTCAGGTCCTGTTTCAAAGCATAATGTCGGATTAGTGACAAAGAACCAAACATGAGATGCCGGTGAAAGCCTGTTCAGACCTGGAGGGAGAGAAATGAGCAGGCAGCAAGAAACCAGCACACACTGAAACTTGGGTTATCTAATGCTGACTTTTGTCACTCTGTGATAAGCTCAAATTTCAGTGGAGGGCATGTAAACAAAAGAGCCACTGGAAGTGTTTTGTGTGGACAAGTGTTGCCTTTACTCAAACAGTTCTAAAGCCCCATTAATTGGCTCCATGAAGTTACATCTGCAAACAGTCAACTCCATAGTGGAACACCTATCAGGTTACAACAGCTAGGATATTTATGTATTAAGTTTGAAACTTGATGCATTTTTTGCGTACAATACTGGATTCTGTGTCTGAGTATGTGAGATGAACCTGTGTATTACTTGGTGGTCGGATGACAATAGTACTCTGGGTAATTTGTTCATCTTTAAGTGTTTACATAGTAAAACTGCCTCTTTCTCATTTGAGACTGTAACTCTACACCCCTTTACCACCCGACCCTGAACAAACCCAATCACATGAGTTTTATGCTACTTACCGCTCCATACCCAGGAAGATATTATCATAGAGCCACTTGTCCAAATAGCAAATGGGAACCAATGCAGTGTTAAGCCCTTGAGAAACGACCTCGGCCTTGACCAGCATCCGGCCTCCACAAGTAAGGAACCACCAGAGAGCAAGTAGGGGGAGGGGTGTGCGCCCGATTCAACACCGCCCCCAGCTCCATCAGCAACAGAAAAAGACCCAAACGGGAGAGTGTAGGGACCGTGGATTTGAGGGGGGTTACAGCAGTCGGGGGTGCCAGCCCACAGAACCTCCAGACTGTGGCTACGGACCTCCTAAGGCTACCGTATCCTGCGCTAGACCACTTTCACCCGCTACGGGGCCCAGCCAAGACTTTAGACCGGCGGCAACTGCGTGTAAGGAGAGGCACCAAATGGACACTATTCAGAAAAACAACCAGGAGAGGGCGCTACACACTTCTGACACCTCCATGGAGGGTGTGCATTCACCTCTGATAAAGGAAACCATATCAGAGCAGCTGTATCAAAAAAAAAAAAAAAAGTAGTAAATGTTTTTGGTCAGAATGCGTATCAGCAGCACTTGTGTGCCTTTGTCTGGAGAAAAAAAAGAAAAAAAAATGTATTTGGGGGACAAATAAACAAACTAAAATACTGAGGGCTTTCTATTGTAACTGGCCGTTTACCTAATGAGTTGTTTTAAGTTATCTGACTCGAGAAAAATTGACCCGGCCTGATCAAATGAATGCTGCTCCAATAATAATAAAAAAAAAAAACATGTCCTTATAAGGTGATATCTACATTTCTTTTTATCTTGCGTTATAAGATCAACAACAAAGTTTAGTTATCGCTTACCTGCCAGCTGATTCGTGAAGAGAGGTTCTCCACAATGAGTCTGTGATCTGTCCGCACAGGGGGGCCATACCTGTCCAGTCAACGCAAACCAAAAAGAAAAGGCGTTAATACAATATTTTCAGTTCAGACAGGGGACCAATATATCCTCACTCGTTTTGCTTCACGTTCACCTGTTGCATTTACGCGTTGTCTAAGGAGCAGTGTCAATATTTGAATTTGATCAAGAGGTAAAATAACAGGTTCACATTAAACACCTGATCTTAGTTAAACCTGCTCAAAAGACTAACACTTCACCAGGCTTTATTTGACTTTGGCACAACCAGATGAAATGAAAGATATATAGCCTGTATGATGGTTAGTCAGAAACAAAGTAGAACCGAATGTTCTTTTAATATGAGGAGGAAAGATGGTCTTTTAGGACATTTAATCGTTTTGTTTACTCAGTTTATTTAGTTGGCTAATACAAGCCTGCTACGTAAATTTGGCTGGCTGGATGTTTTCTCATGATAGTTCTATAAACAGACAAGATCAACAACTTAACATGTGCCCATATTCACTAGGGAACAATAATGGGATAAGAAACATGTAATACTAGTTTTACTGTAATGGGAATTTGACAAACTATTTTCCAGTTTGACTAACTAGTAACGGTTTCAGGAAGTTACCTGGATCCACTGCTGCGAGATGGACGATAGCCACCGCCGCCGCCACTGCTGCTTCCGCCGCCGCCACCACCACCACCACCGCCTCCGCCACCGAAACGTCCTCCCATTCCTCCGGGGCCGCCGCCTCTTCCTCTTCTGGAGCGAGCGTGCTCAATAGTGACCCTGAAAAGAAGAGCGAGAAATTATTAGAATAATACAGTGTGCCTAATAACAAACTAAATGTTTCTAATATGTCTATGAAGCAAGTCCATGATAGAGTATAGGTATTTACAATTCTGTGTGGGCTGACTTGGAATAAATAATTCAAAATCAATCCTACAATATTGTGGCAATATCACCATCAAGATATTTGGTAAAAACCTTTTTACCAGATCTGGTTCTTACCTTTCACTGCACAACTCTTTGCCGTTCAACTCGTACACAGCATCATCTGCATCTCTGTGGTCATCAAATTCCTGATAAGAGACATAATAAACAGTGATACTCTAAAACACAAAAAACAGGATTGGAACGTTAATTTTGTAGTTACTGGTCAGTCACACTCACCACAAAGCCAAATCCATTCTTTAAGTTGATTTCCCGAATACGTCCGTATCCCTTGAAAAACTTCTCCACATCCCTCTCCCTGGCGTGCGGGCTCAAGCGGCCGATGAAGACACGACACCCGCTCATTGTATCCTGCTGAGATGGGAAAACACAAGACACGTTAATCATTAAACCAGGCTAGGAGGAAAATTGCACAATGTTTGCGGCTAGGTATGTTGACTTCATTAACCAAAGGTTAATTATAGACATTTAACAGTGCAAGTTCCAAGCTTAATCAGTATTTACTGATTAGAATACACACAAGAGTTTTGAAGTTGAGCATTACATTTTGCATCTAGAAGGATATAGTCACCAACACTCGCTGAACTGTGGTTCCTCAGACCTTTTAAAAAAAAAAAAGAAATAAACCACGGTCGTGTCACATTAACCCAGGTCTGGAATGAAAACGACTCAGGTGAAACTGAGCACACCTGATCAAGATCAAAGACACGTGATAAGGCAGCTCTGGTCGAACCAGTTTCACAGTAATTAGTATGTTTACATTCAACAGTTTTTCATCAAATAACACGAAATGTATCGTACAAAATCTTGAAACATCAATTTTCCTGCCTATGTTATGTGCCAACAAAAATATTCTTACACAAAAGGTTATGATATTAAAGTCAAGACTATTTCAGAGAGGCATTAATTCAACACATTTTAAGGTTAGTTATACAAAAAACGTACTGTAATTTGAGGTGAAATGTGTTACAATACATTAACTTAGTTTATAACGTGGCATTTATCAAAACATCTAACGTTAGCCACCTAGCTTAGTTATCTCGGTGGTAATCAATTGGGCCTAGCTACAGCGTGCTAACCTTAACTACGAGAACACACATGAAACCGTTGCTAAGCTAACAGTTAAAATGCTTTAATTGAATCAATGTGTCGTTGAAAAGATGAAATGTGAGAAGTAAAAATGCCCAAAACGCATCATTTAGCGGTCCAATATTAGGACAAAGGCTATTTTTAGCTAGCTTAAAAATAATTTCGCTTCTTATATGACGGCTGTTAGCTGCCTCGAGGTCGATTACTGTTAGCTTAGGCGAGCTAGCTACCGTTAAGTTAGCTACAAAGACATCATTCTCTGTTCAGAAAACACCAGTTAGCTATTTATAAAACAATCGTACAATGAATGCAATTATTTAACACCAAGTATATTACAGTCTCACCTTTTATAACTCAAGCCGTCTCCGGTTTCGATGTTTGCGTCGATGGTAAAGCTGCAATTTTGTGCCGTATGGTCTCAGCCCTGCTCGACTAAATCAAAATGGCGAGTGGGTCCAATGCCAGACCAGGGGACCGGAAATGCTGCTGCTGCTGCTTCTTCTTCTTCTTCTTCTTCTTCTTCTTTTGCTTTTTATGGCGGTTGGCAAACAGCTTTTGGGTGCATTACCGCCACCCACTCATCTGGAGTGTGGACTAAGGATACCCTCTCGAATACGACAAAAAACGGAAAGAAAAAAGAAAATATAGAAATATATAGTATTTATTTCTGCTTTTTCAACTCAATTCTCTCTTTGATCTCAGCATTATATTATTGGCCAACATATACAATGACATTAGCTGATATATTGGCCCAGTTTATACATCTGTCTAGTTCTATTTTGAGATCTGGAATCTAGAAATAGTTTATCTACAAACTAAAATGTCTGTTCTTTAAAAGTTAAACACCTGGTAAATCAAAGAACTTAAAATAAATCATATAATCACAGTTTACATCCTCAAATTGCCCAACCATAGGCTACAACAGAAGAACCCAAACATGTCTTTGTTATTCTGTCTCTTTATTCTAGTACTATAGTATCATTCTTGAAATTGTCCTGGGTTAGGAAAAGGGAAATACAGGGTTACGGTTGATACATAATGAAAACATTCCTGTCTGGTCTGCTTTATAGAAAGTGCAAAAGACTTCTGAGCATGGATAACTGATCCCTGCACAGCTCCTGTCACCTCAAAATGTACTAAAAAAGTCTGAACGCAATACATTTGGTGAAATGTAAGACTACATCAAAAATAAATAGGAATATATTTAAGAACATGAAGAAGTCCAATTTGCACATTCAACCCCATTTTAACAAGGTCAGCAGGAATGAGATGACCGCCACTGTTACGAGTCATGTGATTTCCTTCCTGAGAAAGGGTAGCTGTCCAAAAAACACTACAGCAGGAGGGATGGGACAAGACTCAAATCACATGTGGCCTGGTTCACTGAGCTTTTGCTTTTAAAAAAAGCAAGCAACATGAATTAAAATGAGTAGAACTACCAGGAGCCGACGTTTGTCATCATTAATATTAGGGGTCTTTGTGTGGGTGGGGGGGGGGGGGGGGGGTACTTGCATGCTTGCATGTATGCTTAATACAAATAACTTCATGACATCATATTTTCCCTTTATGAGTATCTGCTCTTTTCCCTGCAACAAACCTCACAAGTATGAGCAACTTCTTAATAGGTTTGTTTATTACAATTAAAATGCTTTGTGTCTGTAAACATGTCATAGTTCAGTTCACAGTTTAAATAAATCAAACAAAGTGGTCATAGTTTGATATTTTGGGAAATACACCTACTGTTTTGCTGCGTCAGATAATAAGTTTGATAAGCTTCATCTAGCATTCAGTTAGCTTAGCCTAGCATAAAGACTGGAAACAGCTAGCCTGGCAAAAAAACAACAACATACATCTGTCAAATTGTCGGTTTTCAACTTTTTTGTTTGGGTTAAACAAATAAGATATAATGTGTTCAGTGGGGAGTTTTCAGTCTGCTGGTGGGTGGATTTTTGCTATCTTTGGACAGGGTCAGGCTAGCTGTTTCCCCCTGTTTGAAGTCTTTATGCTAAGCTAAGCTAACCAGCTTCTGGCTGCGAAATCATTTTTACAATCCCCACATGAAAATGGTATTTATTTCTTATCTAACTCTCGGCAAGAAAGCGAATAAGTATATTTCCCAAAATGTATAACCTATTTCTTTAAGGACTTCTGTAACTTAAAGGAGAATACTGATTTTCTTCTTCTCTTTTCCATGGCTGCTTAATCTTCATGGGTTTAATAGTGAAAAAGGCGATAAGATCAGTATCACAGAGGAACATTCTCTGGGCGTAAATATACATTTCCTTGCCTTTACGTATCGCATTGTTGTAATATAAAGACTATTTGGATATAAAAGTGTAGACAAAAATTGTACTGGATCACAAAGTCAATAATTGTCAGTGTAGCAGCTTGAGTTTCTTTGTGTTTGTGTCTCTGAGATGTTCACAGATAGTGATTGGGCCGCACGAGCGAGGCTGTAAAACAGCGACTATTTAAACTGAACAGCATTTGCCCTTGATTGTTTATAACTGTCTATCAACTGGTTACACTGGCAGCTCACTGCCGGTTTATTGATTTAAACAAGCCCCAGGTTGTGTCATTCGTTTTACAAAAGGAAAAGGAGGAGAAATACTTGATGATATGATCAGAAGTGTGGCGTCTCAGTTTAGTTGGACATTTTGTCCCAGTCTTTCAACATGCAACATTTTTACGAGTTCAGACTGAACTTGAGGAACAATCAAATCCTCTTTAAACCCTCTAAAATGGCCATAGGTAACTACTTAGGTTCCACACAATGAAAGGCCACATAGAGGTTATTGAACGAGAACTTGTTGAAATTGAGCTAATAAGCAGTTTTCTGGTAATGCCACTATAAGTAGCCTCAGGTGTCTAGATAGTTATTCTACAAATGCAGCTCTGAAGGCAGGGAACAAGGCTGACAAAGGTTTAAAAGTTCATGGAAAAGACCAATAATAATGTACTACAAACTTCAGATCTACAAGTGGTTGTGGTGGAATCTGAGCCACGCTTCAGGGCTCTAGTCAAAGTTTATCATCCTGTCGTCTGCAGGACAGACAGGGTCTCTGCAGGGCTGATGTCTCTGGCAGCAGCTCTTTTCATGAAGAGTGGACTTCTTCTTTTCTCAGAGGACAAACAGTATGAGGTCAGCTGGTTGTTCAAGCCTTCTAATGCCACGGTCACGAGCAGAGGTGACAAGGGGAGGGGGGGGGGGGGGGGGCAGAGTTCAGCGTATGTCGAGCAGTTCACACCCTCGTGTGGCGACAGCTGCGGGAGGAGCCGGTGGCGGCGGCTCCGGACGGGGACGAAGGGTCCTCGTCGCTCGACTCGTTATGCTCCTCTTTGTGGAGGCCGAGGCTGATGTGGCTCTGCAGGGCAGCCGGGGTTAACCACTCCTTGGGTAGGCAGCTCTGCAGGAAGGGGATGCAGGAGCTGAAGTACGCCAGTCTGTTGACCCAGCGAGGGATTTCACGTCCACACAGCAACTGAAAAAAAGTCGGAATACAAACATATTGTCTTTATTGTATTTCCATAAAAGTGCAAGCCCCTAAAACTCTTGATCCTTTTCCCATAACTCTGAAGGGTCATCCTTTCGTTTCAGGCAAAATGTCTACAATGTTCAGCAATTAGTTTAGGATGTTAGCATGCTAACATTTAAGTGCAGCTGAGGCTGATGGGAATGTAACTAGTTTTGCAGGTATTTGGTTGTAAAGCAAAGCATTGGACAAGATGAAAATAAACTGATTATGGAGCAAGAGAAAAAGTTAAGCTGATATAACCCTGATGACATCAACAGTAATTTTTCTATTTTTGCCATAGAAGACATACAACTGTTTTCACACCTTCATATGTGAAATTGGTAGAAAGCCCCTTCAAGTCTCTGTACAAACTTTTATGTAATAGGATATGTATGTCAAACTTATGTAGCTATATCAGAACTGTTCTGTATCTTATGGTTTCTGTACAATACGTACATGTAGGAACAAAAAAAACAAACAGTAGAAACCGTATCAGACTGACCTCAGACAGCGAGGAGGAGAAGTGGTTGCAGTTTTTGTGCATTAGATGGTAGGCATTGCCTTTGAACTCTTTACCCAGCTCCTCCATGATTTTATCAATGTCCTCCTCTGTGAAGTCGGTGGTGCCCAAAGCGATGGCCTCCCTGTTTGAAAGCAGCAACAGGCCAATCAGCACACATTAACATTAACAACCTCTCAGAGCACGATATGCTATAATTAAGCACTACTCACTTAAACTTGAATGTCTCTCCCAGTTCAGCGGCGTTGCCCGGAGTGATCTCAAAGATGCCACTGAAAGGGTACGGATGACCCCCGTATGCAAATTCTGTGTGGACAAAGACGCAAAATACAAATTAACTCCTTCAACCGAAGCACCAAACAACTGTAATAACAAAGAAACAAGCAATTAATCCCTGACACACTGTGTTTAAATCATTAGGCCGGGCTGATTACAGACCTCTGCTCTGTATTTACAGCAGAACACCAGAAAACAGTGATGCACTCTGGGGCCACAGCATATTGAATAGAGCGCCTCACATTGTTAGCTGTGTATATACTGAATTAAATTTGAATTTATACATTTTGACTACAAACACATGGGAAATCAACAAATAAACATGGGGTGACATAAACACAGTCATTTTATCAATAACATGTTAAAGTATATATTTTATTTAGATGTATTAAGATATTACTGTTGGAAAGTAACTCAGTACATTTAGGCAAGTGTTGTACTTAAGTACAAACTTGAGATAAATCTACTTAAATCTAATTCAGAGGGAAATGTTTACTCAAAAATACGTATCTGGTTTTGTATGTTAGAGGTTCATTTGCAAGCTAACAAGTAACTAAAGCTGTCAAATACACGTTGTGGAGTAAAAGAGTACAATATTTGCAATTGGACTGTAGCGTGTAAAATGATGAAATAGCAGAAAATGTTGCTTTTAATAACAGTACTTGAGTAAATGTATTTAGTTATATCCCATCACTGTCCATGAGTTATGAAGTTACAGCAAACTCTTGTATAAATCCCTTAAAAACTCCACTGAAGAAACACAAAGATGCTTGGTACTAAAGTCTTTTGATAAAATCTACATTTAAAACACAACTCTTTCTAAAAAAACCTGTGCCACCTCCTGTATGTCCTTGTTGCTTTTAGCTCTCAAAACATCTGGAGTCAGAGTCTTGTACCTGACAGTGATCGTATATTAAATTCAATATGATTAAATCCACGCAGTCATCAAAAATACAAAATCACAATGAGAAGTGATTTCTGGCCCTAGTAAGGAATGTTTTATCACTATCATCATATTTCACAGAGACAATATTTCTGGTTGCAAGGGCATAATAGTATTCCCAGAGATCTAGTTTCACGCTGGTTTCTGCCTCTCATTCTTCATACCACACACACACAATACAGAGTGAGCCAATGGTGACTCAACCCAGAAAAATTAGGTGATGTTATTAGGAACACGGTTCCATATTCCATTTTTAAAACCAGACTTCATCGGCGTCTGTGAAGGCCGCCTCGTTCAAACCTCACAACCAGGTCCGAGTGCGGCCCGCTGTGCTGTGATGGGATTTCACAGACATAAAGGAAACAAACGAAAAGGTCTTACCTCTGCCATATATCTCAATGCCTGAGTGGAAGACTCCAATACCCAGATTGGAAGTGTATTCATTTATCCAGTACTGCAGAGAAAGAGAGGGAGAAGAAGAAGAAGAAGAAGAGCGTAAAGACGAGGGCTTCGTTTAGGATCAATATCAAGAGGTATTTGTGTTTTATCAGGAATTAAACAACACAAAATACCTGATTGCTAATTAAATTATATATTACAGGAAAGATGCTGATAACTGTGACTTTTAAGATGCCTCTACCTGATTGCTAATTAAATTATATATTACAGGAAAGATGCTGATAACTGTGACTTTTAAGATGCCTCGACAGAGAAAAGTAAACTCCCAGTTACATATGGCCATAATTTAATACTTTAATACATATTAGGCTGTGCAATTTGGGCATTAAAACACATAAAGGGATAGTTTGACATTTTGGGAAATACACTTATTTTGGTTATGTATGTGCAAATGACAGACAAAGATGCCAAATAAATGCAATGAATCTTACAATCCTTTGTGATGTGTTGTTTGTAACTCATTGTTTTTCATTTCACCAGAACGACGAGACTTTCCTGCTGAAATAAAAGTCAAATAAATAAAAACTTTTGATAACCTGCATTTTTAAGCAAATATTCAATCATTTGTTTCCTCTATCAGTTTATTCCTTCTCAGGATTGTAACAGCGGTGGCGTCCCAGCAAGCACTGGGCAGAAAAACAAGGGAAACACCCAGGACTGATCCATCGAAACGGTAGATAAACAATCTGATCTGTTCGACCTGCAAGTCCTGAGATGGCTGGAGGAAAATTCACCCACGAGTGATCTATGAGCCACCGTGTCGCCCTTCACTGCAGACAATTGACACATAATTTATGGCAGGACCACAGCTCTACAAACCCCCGACGCCCACTGACACTAGACATCCCTGCGGAAACACGCTAAGAGCTCTGCACACTGCCCCAGCCGTCCCATATTAATAATGGAGCACATTTCCGGGCTCAGAGCGATACAATAAAAGCATATCCACCTCTTTACTTTGTGTCAACAGAGTCGTATTCCTACAGTGACTTCTACCCGATTTAGCTCTCTAGCGGTTGCTTTTTCTTTCACACCGTGGAAAACTAATCTCAGCTTCCTGGAGGGAAACAATGCACAAGGACAAGTGAAATGAGATTATGACGAGCTGACTATCAAATTACATGACTTCACTTTCGCCTCAGTACATAATCAAGAGAGTCCCTATACCACTAGTGGAGCAGTCACAAATGTTGCCGATATAAATCACACTTCTCTGATGATGCGCCTCATCTCTCTTGTTGCATGCCAACAAATTGCTGCAACGATCCACGCAGTCTCCTCCAACAACATCCTGCCTATATGCGCATGCAGCATCCACCACTGCACGCATCAGTCACATTGACTTCACATTGAAGACGATCGATTCATCATATTTCTGCTCGCATGATTCACTCTTGCCGCCTTCTTCGTGTTTGATTCTCGGGTAAAAGTATTTAAGGCTGGCTCTGACTGGCACCGGCCTCGCGATCACTTCCTCCCTCTTCAACAGACCCTCTGCATGACCTGCTAAGTCCCGGCACAGCAGAGCCGCACTGGAATTAAGTGTTTGAGCAGCTGTCACTGAGGTCCACATCTGTGAGAACACTTAAAGATAGCAAAGAACGCCCCCTGGCTTTGTGACCGAGCGTGTGATTAAACGTTTATGTGTGTGAGTATTCTTAAAAATCACATCTTTTGGCAGTATGCAGCATGATGTCGTTGTTTAACATTTGTACAATCTCTTAAAATATGGAGCAAGTTGACTCACGTCTGGGAAGCTAACAGATGAGCACTTCAGGTTATTATTCTTTTAACACTATCTGAACCCCCATCCACCCACCCTTTTACCATGTATAAGGAGTGTAGTTGTAAGCACCTATAAGAACATTTTCATTGTTTATTTGTCAACAACTATAACTCCTCTCCTGAAGCATCTGTAGCCGGTGTGTAAAGAGGAAATGTTTGGTAATATAACACAGTTGTGATCATATAAACTGGGGGAGATGGTGTTTGTTAAAGGCTGCTAAAAACATAAATACTGAATAAACAACTATATTAGACAGGTTGTTCAAAAAACCACCATCCTTATCCAAACACATGAAACAAGCCAACGGCATATTGTTGGGAAAGGCTCCGTTCCATGGCTGTATTTACAGTTATTATAAATGTAAATGGGATTTTGAATGAGTTTTCTTACTTCTGAAACAGAGCCAAGAAGTTCCGGCTTCACTTTGGCTCTCTATTATTTGTTTCTAGTGCCATTAAATGTATTTACACTCATTGGTTTCCTCTCTATATAGTAGTTTTCATTGTCAGTGGCGGGGTCCGCCATGCCCACACACGATTCAAATGACCACACGAAGTATTTCTACATTTGTACACAAAGTACTTATCATAATAACCAGCTCAGCATGTCTTTTGTACACAGTTTTGGACTCACTTGTAGATGATTAGTACATATATTAGTACATAACAGCTTAATACACATTTTATAGTAGTAGTGTGTCATCATATAATTAAATATGATTACAGCTATGTTATATCATTCATTATATATTACAGACAGAGGTTGTAATTGTTGACAAATACATTAATAAACACTTATAACTTCTGTATATCTGCTTGCAACTACATTATTATAGTGTGTTCATTTATTGAATTTCTATGTACTGCTTAAAAATTCTAAATATGTGGATTTGAAGTAAAGTGTTACCAGTATGGATGCACTCCACAATATCACAACTGTTTTGGTGTAACTGGAGTATTTCTGTGGATTTACAGCAACATGTTGCATAATATTCACACAGGAGGCTGTTCAGCAGTACCGAGTGAAAAGACCAGCCACATGTCTGAATAAAGACCCTTGTCCTTTACTGGTGTGTGTGGGTTCATGTGAGTGAGTGTGTGTGTGTGTGAGTGTTTTTGTACGAGTGTGCATCATGTGAGCTGTGGGCACAGTGACAGAGGTCAGAGGGTTGAGGGAAGCTCTTGTTTCAAAGGAATTACAGAAGTTTCTTATCTACTTTCTAATTTTTTATGTTTTAAATGTCACTTGACGTTCTTACTTACTCAGATAAGAGCATTAACACTGGACAGCTATACATACCGCCCAATCTTTGAAGATGGGTGTGACTGTGCTCACCGAGTTCCATTGACAATTCTTTGAATTTAACACTCTTTAGACGTCCATGGGAGTAGAATTAAAGTACCATTTGTTAGCATTGGGAAATAATTCACACACAACTGTGGATTTACACAAACGTCTTATGCTGCAGGCAAAACACTACATGTTTTTCATCTGCTATTTGAGTCTAACTGGACTCTTTCCAACATTAAAATAGCTGTGAAGTGCACTTGTGAAACAGGTGTGTAGTGGGCCTGCTATTTCTGGTGGTGGGTCCACTTCCTCTGCTGGTGTCAGATTACAAACTGCAACACACACACACACACACACCCACACACACACACACACACACACACAACTGAGTAAAAAGTAAGCAAGTGGTTTAGATGGATTCTTACCATATCATAGACGTTAAGGATGACAGGTTCATTGGCCATGGTTTAAACCTGAGCTGGAAAGGCAAACGTCCCTCACGTTTCACGATTGTCAGGACCTCCACACCCCTCTGAAGTCACAGGGCCACACGGTGGACAGCAGCAGCAGCAGCAGCAGCAGCGGACGGACGTCTGTCTGCTGGAGGGGTGGTGGTGGAAGCTGCTCAGGGGAAACTACTGCATGGAGGCTGGAGAAAAGCGTCCCGAAAGAAACAGGACAAGTGAAGCTTATAGTCCCACAGCCACTATGGCATGTGAGGTTGGGCATGCATGAAACTCAGATCCCTGCAGGGCAAAGCGAGGTGCAGCAGTGGACGCGGTCCAAAAACACCCGTTGTAAGGGGGCAATCGATGCTGTTTGACAAATATAAAAAGCAACCACAACAGCTCAAAATGTCACGTTAGAGGTGATAAACATGATGCACAACGGACATAAAGGGGCCTATAACAAGTGTTGGAGTCTGAAGCAGGCGCCCCTCCTGTCATCAACGGGCCGAAAAAGGCGACAGCTAGGGCGGACCGATGTCGACGATGGAGACGGAGAGCGGACACACATTTTTTCTTTTTTTACCCGGAGGATGTCGGAGCGGCTGCGGGAGAGGACTCCTGAGGCATGGCGGTTTAATTACGGCTGATGTGGAAGTGGGAGTCAAGTTCACCAGCAGCATCATCTCCTACTGCCCGTCCGCATCCAGCCTCCTCTTCTTCTTCTTCAAACATCATCTTCATGACTCCTCCAGCGACACGGAACCGTTTACCAGAACCAGCTCAGATGGAGGTGAGATATTCATCCGTGTCGTGTCGGTTGTTCTCCGGCTCTGGCTCTTCACCCTCTCCCTCCTGTTGGGACTGAAGCTTTTAGATTACATCATATCTGCCTCCGAGGCAACATCCTCCACCGGCTGATGGGAGCTGCTGGTGGGTGTGCAGGAGCACATATTGTTACAAAAAGACTGGACAATTTCTATCAACCTGGGCCATGATGAAACCGACCGTTAGACACGTTACGACACATGAAACGGCGTCATTTCAAAAAATCGGTTATAGCGTCAAATAAGTTTGTTTTGTTCGTCAAAGTGTATTTTTTTGTGACTGACTAACACTCAAATTGGTTAAGTAAAAATGATAAATGAATATATAAAAACTATATCTAATGCAACAACAGGTTTCTAGGTTTATTTTGTTTTATCAAATTAGTAAAAAAATAAATAAATCTACCATTATTTTTAGTCGTTCAGTTATTTATCATCAATTTATTTATCCCCATGAAATTATGATACTGATAAGCAGTATTATTTATGCATATGGTAATATATATTGTACACAGGAAAATAGTTTGTCGCAATTATGTCTACATTTATTTTGAAAGTAAAGTGACAACATCCGGTTTTATGCTATCGTTTGCTAGCTTTGCAGATTTAGCTTTAGCCGGATCTACCATCAGTGGAACAAATATTAAATTTCGTATTATTGAGTTGAAAAATATATGTATTAAATCACAATTAATGTAATATCAAGAGAATATTTGTAATTATTGTCAAAAATATAAGATACTTTTTCTCATAATGTTGACATACTTCAAGATTTTGACTATTTTCATAATTAAAACCTCATATTTTGAAGTAGTAAATCTCAAATCTGACTTTGTATTTTATCTTTTTGATTTAATAGTTCATAATCTACACACTCGTAACTTTTAGTACATCTAATTTTGACATAAAAATGGTAAAATTTGACTTATAATTTTGGCTATTTCACAATTTCAATTAATTCTCATTATCTTTACCTTTTAATAACTTCTTGACTTCATATCTCTGAGTATTTGTATTTTTAATATTTCTTAAATTGTCATCTAATTGATCATAAACTGGTATTTACAGATTCATATTAAATATTCTGCATTCCCTGCAACTAAATAGAAATAAAAAAAGCCTAGCAGGTTAATTGAAATGAGTTTTAATACAGTAGGTGCTTGGATGTAATTTATTAGTGCCTCTGATCTGCGTTGTCTGGCATCCTGCACATATTCACAATCCTATTCAGCAGAGCAACATGAAATGTATTTACAGACAACGAGAGCCACATAGTCAGAGACGATCGCGTGAGAGACAGACTGACAAATGTGGACAAAGACACCGAGCAGCACAATTCACTCATTCATCGGTTCTACGGAAGTTAGGAGTTCCATGATTGTGGCTAGTGCAAAAAAAACCAAAAAAAACATTGTTGAGAGCAACTCATTTCTTTAAAGAAAACTTTCCTTTACATTGAACTGGCTGAAATGGATTTTCAGTATAAAGCTGTTGATCCTTCACACAAATTAACTAAATTATACTCCAGACCTCATCAATCCCACAGCAGAAGGTGCGATGTGACTGTTAGCACTGACCTCAATGCAGAATTACGAAGAACGTCTAAAATGACTGTGACACACAACAAAGACTTCTTCAGCGGTGACTGAGCGATCGGAAAGGAGCTGCTCACCACACGACATTTAACTAAGGAATGATTTGTTTTTAAGATATAGATTTAATGGTTCACCCTGAGTGACCGTGTGATGACTTGGTGATACTTTAAACAAGCGTATTTTGCTTTTAAGGATAAATCTGATGTTTTTCTAAGCGCCAGCGAATCCCATTTAAAGACCCAAACCAACAAAGTCAGAAGCATCGTCTGATATATTAAAAACACATCACTGAGCCACACTGTTGCACTGGGTGACATGTTTCTTCATTACAACTCGGTCACACTTACACCGCCCTGCTGCACCAAAACACTCACTAAAGCACCAGGCATGTATTAATCCGCAGCTGTAAATAGTCCCCAACAAATGCACTATTTCCTTCTTTTTGAGTAATGCATGCTAAAAAACTACAGTGCCCAGGTGTTTGAGGAGCCCAGAGAGCCATTTTTCAAAGAGAAACTACATATTTGTGATGTGTTTTTTAAGGTTCATGTGTTGAACTAATGGGTTTGTGGCAACAAACAGGGAGAGGAAGTCGTAAAGTATTGAACGGAGTAACTCACTGTTGGTTTGGGGCTTTGTAATGGTATTTGTTGACAATAAGAAAATACAGATTATTGCCAGCAACATCCTTTAATTTAATGTAATGGGTTGATTTTCATTTTGCTCATCATAAGGAGCAACAAGAACCAAGCACTCCGAAAGTCAATTCATCACGTTAACTACAAGCAAGTTTGCCACTCCTCCCATGATTCTGTGCAACAGGGTGCAAAATGATGCAAAATGCAAACCCGGTCGCATTCATTTTTTAAAAACACGGAGGAACTGAAGGTACAGTGGGTTCCTCAGACAGATCTGCACAGAGGCCTGCGAGTGACTGAACACAACACCGTCTTTAAGTGTGCTCATGGACCCTGAAGCTTGAGCTAGTCTGACTGAACGCAAGGATTTAATAGTATTCTGCGTACGTTTGTTTCTGCCCGGGCTCAGCCCAGCAGCAGGAATATACAACCGTCTGCTCCTCCCGACGCTCACAAAGGTATCTATTAAAAGGTAACCTCTGTGGTAAGAGGGCATCCTTTTGCATAGGAAGGGTGTCAAGAAGCTCCCATTAATCACATTATACACATGAACATGGAGAGACTCATCAGTGACACCTGCACCTACTAATAAAAAAAAAAAAAATAGTAAAAAAAAAAATAAAAAAATAATAATAGCGTCAACTGTTTAGAGTTTCATCCCCCTTTTCTTTTCTTTGGCCTTTAGCAAAGTTTTTGATCTTAAAACAGACGTTGGCTTCGTTAAAAGTGCTTCCTGTGGAGCCGCATGTAAATAAATGCACCGAAAGCTGCAACTCCGGCTAAAGCGACCAGTATTTCCAGAGTAGACACCGAAGATTTGGACTCGGGTTGTGAGCCTGTAGGTCCGTTGACATCATTAGGCAACTGCAAGACACAGATATGAAAACAAGAACAAACATTAAAGCTACACGGGAGGTGATATTTATGTAGAAATGAGTGACGTTTGTTTACATTACATTCTGGTGTTGGACATATTTCACTTTCAATAAATCTTCTAAGAAGTGATGAATCAAATTAAAAGCTTATGTAATGACCGTTCACAGCATAAAAGCAAATTTCATAACTTGTTGCAATAACAAGGTCACTATTTATTAGCATAGTGTAAAGGCTGAAGTATCATCCGACCAGGTCTTCAGTCATACAGAGAGGTGAGACACAATTATTGTTCTACTTTTTTTTCCATACTTTCGTAAAGACTTTCCTAAAAGGCATTTCTACATAGTGCACAGTTGTGCATGTAAAGAGTCACAGAAGTAAATGTGTAAAGACTGAAAACGAGAGCATTGAGAGAGATGGTTTTGGAAAAAGCTGTTGGCTGCAGCCTCACTTCTGCCACTGAGAACATGCTGTTGGGACGATTTACCAACTCTCTCCTGAGAAAACTGAACGACTGTCATGACAAATCCATCTATTGTAAAAAACAAACAAATGCTGTGCTTTAGAAAACGGACAGCTAGAATTAAATAATACAACTTTTAATGGCTGAAACTGCTGGTAAGGAATCAAATACAAGCCTCCAAAGGAACAACGGTCCAACTATATGACTTCTTCTTTCTCAGTCTTAGTGATATTATAGTCTACGTGGTAGAATATATATATGCTCAGGGTGTGGCAGCTGTAAACAAATATCAGGTGATTTATTTGGTGGAAAAGCTGGTCAGAGGAACGACAGGACGCAGGACGTAGAGGAGGAACTACAGTGGAGCTGAATGTTGTCCGGACAAGACCTCCAATCCTTAACAGGACATGGCTCACTGACGTTACATCGTTCATCTCAAGGCTTCTCCTTGTGGTTGATAGCGGTAGTGGGCCAACTCGCCTGAAACAAGACCATCTCCACTAAATTCTAAAGTATCTCTTTACTATTGTTCCGAGATGTATTTGATGGCGTTTCATTCCTGTATTTGTTTAATATCTTGCATGTTCTTGCGCTGCTTTTATGCTTCGGTGAGCTAAACACAATTTTCCCATTGTGGTGGACAATGAGGCAACAAACAAAAGAAAAATCCCCAACTGCTTACAAAATAAATACAAAAGCACAAAAACCAACAAACCACTCAAACATTTGAAAACAAGGAAGAGGTCATTTTAAAGCTTCACCTTCTTCAGAACACGGAGCTCCACGTCCTCCCCCGCTGTCCTGAACAGATCCACTGTAGCTCGGTGCATCAGATCCTCAAGCTGCACTCCGTTGATCTACACAAAAAACAATGTTGATGTGCTTTTTCCATTCACTTTCACTCCAAATCAAATGACTTTGACATTTTATATAGAAAATGTCAGAAAATAGGCAAAATGTCCGAAGTCATGACATCTAAGTGTTTGTTTTATCCGACGAGAACTCAAAATAGTTGCTAGTGTCAGTACATTTACTCAAGTACAAAAGTACAATGTTGAGGTATAGTGCAATCTAATAGTGCGCTTCTGCACAATAATCTCACCAAAGGCTACAGAGACGACACACACCAGTGTCTTCCAGGTGATTTTAAAGTTCCTTCACTTGTTTACAAGGCTCTTACTGGTCTAGAACCAGTCTGCTGTACTAATTATTTGTCATTTTGTAATCCTTCACAGCCTCTTCAGTCCTCTGCTCTTGGTTTTAAAAACTATAAACTATCACATAAATATCTGCATTTTTAAATGGTAATCTAAAATGTATGCACTCAGCAGTGCCTTTAACTAATTGTCCCTCATGATTTATTTTGTTATCTTTTATATATTCTGTTCTTGCTATTTGTTGCCTCTTTTTTGTTTGTTTTGTAATCCACAAAGTTACTACCCCCATATGTAAGGTGCTATTAAATAAAAGTGTATTATCATAATTATTATTATACACAAAACATGAAATAAATACCGTCCTCTACATCCTTCCCCCTGGATAAGAAGTCAACATGTATTACCGCCAGGATCTTGTCCCCCTCTTGGAGTCTTCCGTCCAATGCTGCAGCTCCATCTTCTTTGATTTTGCTCACGTATATGCCGTTGTCGTTCATCACATACTGCTGGTCCACACCCCCAACTATATTAAACCCCAAACCTAAAATACAACAACAGACAGTGTGGTATGAGACAGATGTATGCGAGTAATATCCAATAGATACAAATCAAATTATTAAAGAAATGGTTAGTTAGCACCCAGCTCTGTCAGCACTAAAACGTAACGGCACCGTACTGTCCTCAATCTGTCCGTGTTGAACTTCCCTCTGTCTGTCTGCTGTCACCCGTCAGTCGGCACCCGTCAGTCTGTCTGGAAATTGCCGGTCAACCCTTATCTACCTGCATGTCTTTTATTGTTGTTTAGCTGTGTCTGACTGACTTATATATTTCACATACTCTGCATGCTTTTATGTTTTATGTGCCTCTGACATGGATGTTTTTTAGTGTCTAATAATGCAGCATAATCTTTAGTCCATGTTTCTATTTAACAGTTATCCCTCATTTGATTTGCTTTGTGAGTGTTGAATTTGAGAGCCTCTGTGTTGCATGTCTTGTTAGTACTTGACAATATTAGAGTCTCCTGAATGATGATACTACTTCTATTAATATTCTCACTTCTTTCATTGTTTCTGCATGCATTGCAAAGGGTCAATATTGCATGACTTATATTCTGTTTTTAGGTTTACTTTGTAACATCTCCTTTGGGACGACAGATGAAAAACAGCCTCTTGGCTTTAACTCTGGCGCATTTACAGCAATGTTTGTATTAATGTGCACTGTCCCTTATCAAATAAACCAATAACAATACCTGGACAGAAGTTGCTGATTCAATCACATTTATCTCAATGGAGCAAAGTACACAGTGAATCATCCTCAAGGCTGTACGTGTGTTTAGAAAGTTCACACAATGTTACGTAACAAGTGTAAAGTACACATTACTCTCTCGTGATAAGCGAAATAAACTTTTCCTAACTGTCCAGCTCCGTTTGGCTTCAATAGAGACTGTCAGTTAAAAATCTGACAGGCAGAGGAGTCACGTTAGCTGTTAATTAGCCGTTAGCTTCAGGATACACACTAGCTTGACGTAGCTAACCTAGCTTAGCATCGTTATACCACTACGTGCTAACTGTGCGTCAAATAAAGCAGTCCTCTTACCTGAAGAGCCTCGCTTCAGTTTTATGTCCACCACGTTGGGCGAGGAGTGCAGCGAACCGTTCATGTTGCCACGACGATTATAAAACAGGTCTTCAGCGAAGAACGGACAAACTATTTATCTGAAGGTTGAACTCATTGAGGAGTTTCGATTTGCTTCCTTTTGGTGCGGTGTCCCTGGTCTGTGGTTGTGCTGCCCCCTGGAGGCCTGAGGCGGAACTGCAGGGACAACCTTTGGCTCACAAGGCAAGGAGGCGAATCAGAAACGCAAAAAGATAAATACAAATTCAGAAGATTCAGGTGGCATTTAATGATGCTTTTAGAATCTTTGCTCAAGCTTCCAAGATGGACAAGTGTCAGTAATATGTTTGTGACTCGTAATGCTCCCACCTTCCATGCTGTGTTGACGATTTTTTAACAAATGTCTATGCTTTTTAAGTGACTTTTGAACTGCAATGATTATACCTGCGTCTTGGTGTCCTCGTATTGTATTGTATTTATTTATGTTTTTGTTGTATTTGTTTTTATATGGAATTTTATGAATTGTTTTTTTTGCCTGGAAATAAAGTTGAATAAAAATACTACAGATAAGTTGCTCCCACGACAATGTCGTGTACTTTTACTTTTAATGTTAAATCCTCAGCTCTACATGTTGTACATGTTTCTAGATTGCACACTGGACTAGTTATTGCACCTTTCGTCATTGTGGTCCTACTTTCTGGAATTATCTTCAACATAAACTAAAGTATGCTACAACAGAACAGTGTCTTCTTTTAAAGGCCCCTCTCTTATCTCTCAAATTATTTTTTACCCTGCTTTTTCATGTATTTTAAATTCTCATTTTTTTTATCCATCTACTGTATCGTTATTCAAACTTAAGTCTTACTTTTGTTCCAAGCAATTTGCGCTATAGTCAAAGAATGAATTATCTTACATAAATCCACTTTATTTCATCTTAGTCTTACTTTTAGTTTCAAGCATTTTGAGCTGTAGTCATAGTATATAATGAATTGTTATACAAATAAAATGATATACTTTCTACCACTGTGGTATAAGTTCACTATGTTTATTGTCAGGAGTCAATCACCAACACAAATTCTATATATGTGTAACGTACTTGGCAATAAACCCGTTTCTGATTCTACATAAAATGCACAGAAGTACATCCTGTAAAAGACAATTCGCTTTCTCCACTTTGGGGTAAAACAAAGAATGGGAACAGGGAAACTAGTGTTTATTATGTGCACAGGCAGAAAGGTGTACAATATTCTGAATCAAACAGCATTATCAGTCATTATTTGTTTGTCCCCTTTTAATCATAAGCATTTAATCTGAAAATATTGTACCACTGTTATCTTTGGCAACAAATCAGAGATCCCATGCCTCTCCTATCCGACGATTTACTTTAAATTGAGCCTCATTTTTTCACCATTCCATTTGACTTCAACATGAAATCATAATTTGTAAAACACCACCCTCCAGTCTCAGAGCTCAGGAGGATTCATACTGAAGAGAGGAGGAACTCAAAGTCCGTATATAAATACTTTTTAAGAAACTTGGGGGGGGGGGGGGAAAATCGGCCAGCACTGAAGACAGAAGGGGAAGAGGAGACCAAGTTGATTTTCAGCATCACACTCTCATGCATTACAAGATGTTGATATGAAGGACAGGATAATAAACATACACGTACTGTAAACAAAATACAGCATACTAGTGGAAAATATGTTCCACTTGGCCTACACTCTTCTCATTAGGTTTGAATTAGTATTTCCTTAAAACGCCTGTTTTAGATGCACTTTATCTCATTCACTACTGTTATGTCGTTAATGGATTGTGAGCGGCAAAGAAAAGAAGAGATATCATCCAGCAAACAAAGAGAAAAGGATTATAACGTGCTGAGTTAATCTGCCATTTGTTCTGTAATAAATGACAAAGTGCCAGGTGGGCAAAGATTGCATTTTACTGACTATTGTGCCTCAAAAACTCCATCAAGGTATTTGAAAGGATTTCAGATACGGTGTCTCCTGTACAGCACGCGGTCTGGTAGCTGAGGTTCAGATCATGTTCGGGGCTACGCTGTAGAGGACGATGTCTCCAGTCACTCGCAGCAGGTTCACTTCCTCCAGCCCGCCCACTCTGTGCTCGTACTCCAGCAGGTGGTTCCCGTCCACCGCCACTTTAAACGAGTCCTCCTCCACAAGGATCTTCAGCTGCAGGGAGAGGAGGGGGGGGCAATAGAAAGTTTATGCACAACATGCAAAGTGTTGACTCCAGACTGAACAATATCAGCTCGATAAAGTCAACCCGACAGGCGTACGAAAATGGGCTTCAGGTAAAACAAATGATTGTTTTGTCGTAGCTACAGTTCCATCACTGAAACACTTTACCTCAAAACGACGTCCGGGAACAAAGGGGAAAAATGCATCCCGCTCCTCCGGCCCCCAGCAGCCACCTAGGTTGGAGTTTCTGACAACTGTTTGCTCGTGAAATCGAGGATTTAAGTGAAAGACGACCTCTGGGCCTTTGAAGAAGTCAACTTGGAATCTGCAAGAAAAAGATCAGGACTGAGTGCTACTGACAACTAATGGCTTGAACAAAAAAAAGTAATAGTATTGATAATGAAGTGTTCTGTTCCTCAAACAGGAAGCAGAACTAGAGGATGACTATACCTGTCTGCTCCAGGAACAGGCTCCGCCTCTATCGTGATTACAAGTCGGGGCATAATTCCAGAATGAAGTGGGAGATCATACGGCACCATCTGTGAGAAATAGTCACATTTTTTGTAAATTGTGACAATACATTTAAAAACATGCTTAAACATGTTTAAAAATAAAGTAAAAAAAAAAAAATGCATAGTGAGAAATTATGGTTTACTGTGTTTATTCGGCAGATACACAAAAAGAAACACCGTTTATCATGTTTATAATATCCCCAGGAACAGACGTAGACACATTTGATCACTAATACTATGAACTTGGTGATATACAGCAAAGTACTAAATATCACAAACTAGCGAGAGGATTGTTAGTAAAACATTATTCAAAACTTTGACCCTGCCCACATTCCGAATGAAAACACCCCATTGAGTCATCACCTATACTTAGTCCAACACTCTGATGTCATTCACAATGACTCGACAAGAACAGAAAAGTCAAAAAAGAAATGGAAAATCAGTTTTTAACAGTTTTAACACAGCAAGGCATCAACAGTACAAACTGACTTCTGAGCAAAATGACAGAAGACAAAAAAAAAAGTCATAAACATGTCAGAGAATATAAATGTGGCTTCATACAATAAACATAATTTCTGTGTAAATATGTCATTATAAATCATATTGCACTTAATTAACGTAATACATTGCCCAGGCAGACAGAACATATATCCCAACTCTATATTGTGTATTATAGTCTTTCCACATGTTCATGTTGCCTAACCAAACCATATGTTGATTCTGGAAGTGACGTCCTTGTCCGACTGAAAAGTTGAGTTCATTGCTTTCAATTATATGGTGGATTATATCTGGGCTGAAAGACAAGAATACATTTTTGATAACTACTTCTGAATATTTCTCAAGGCGGCTTCATGTTTTGCTTTGCACCCCAGCAGAGCCCAAGATACAGAAATAATTCAAACGCGGTCCTCACTGAAAAAGTACCATCATGCAGTAAATCCCAACAAGGCAGGAAACTAGCTGTCTTTCCCACCGTCAGCAGTAAAAGGAAGACACCCACCAGTCAATATTCTAGAAGAAACCCTGCGCTACAGTAGAACTGAATATACGTGCGAGGTTAGCCGGAGACCTGCTAGAGACGCCGGCAGTGTAGCTGGTAGTAAGTTCCCAACCTAAACCCCCAAAACTGCCACCCCAAGAGAGACGCTCCACTGCGCACCAGAGCAGAAACCCATCAGCAAAGAAATGCAGAAAGCAAGCAACACAATGTAAACAGGATTAGTACTCACCAGCATGCCTCCTGGAGCGGCAGGGCCGCCGTACGGACCCATAGGCCCAGGGCCAGGACCAAAGGGGCCAGGGGCAGGAGGGAAGCCTCCACCTGCAGGGGGTCCCCATGACCCAGTGGGCATGGGGGGAAAGCCTCCAGCGGGGTATGCAGGGAAACCACCAGGGCCAGCTGGAGGGGGGAATGCACCTGGACCACCAGGTCCGTACATCCCGTTGCCTCCTCCTGGCTGACTTCCTGGGTAAGGCACATTTGGATAAGGCCCAGGGGGAGCTCCGGGGCCAGAAGGAAATGGTCCAGTTGGGTAAGAAACAGGGCCTCCGGGTAGCTGTCCTGGAGCTCCTTCAGGTGGGTACTGCCCAGGAAACTGCCCAGGGTGCTGCCCAGGAAACTGCCCAGGGTACTGCCCAGGGTGCTGCCCAGGGTGCTGCCCTGGGTGCTGCCCAGGGGCTCCAGGGCTGGAGGGAAACTGCCCCGGAGCTCCCGGTGCAGGGGGGTATTGTGCAGATGGGTATTGTCCAGGTATCCCAGGACCAGGGGGGAACCCACCAGGTGCTGAAGGAGGTCCTGGGTATTGCCCTGGTGCCCCGTGACCAGAGGGATACGGGAACTGCCCCGGCGCCCCAGGGCCAGATCCACCAGCAAAGCCACCCGGAGCGGAGGGCTGGGTGGGAGCTCCTGGGGCTGCACCCGGCCAGCCTGGATTTGCAGGAGGCTGAGGGTTACCAGCAGGAGCGTTCGGGTTATTGTTTCCAATTTTCTTTGCCTTGCTTGGAGAGTCGTCTCCTAAGGCATCTGACAGCTAGAAGAGAAGGAGAAAGTGACTCTCTGAACACAACTGAAGCTTCTGTTTAACCACTAAAAGCGTGCGATCCTTTCAACTCACCGAGAAATCTGCCATGATCTAGAAAAAAGAAGACGACACAACTTTCATTAGTGTTATGAGGAAGTTGTAACAACCGATCATTGCAAGCTGTCACACACAGAGGGCTCGTCACACAGGGGCTCTGAGCAATAGCACAGTAAATGTTTCCATCTCCGACTGGTGACCAACTAAATCCATTCGGGCAGACTCAAAATATCTTCATCAGACTTAAATATCATTACGACAAGCTGTACAGATGCTACGCTGCCTTTAGCTGCACTATTTACAGAGATATAGTCCTCACAATATCTAGTTAACTGATGTTACACAGTTGGCTACCGACCGAGCTAACAGCAGCTAGCTGTGAGTTAACGTTCAGGTGGATTAACTTAGCTCGTTTGTTTATTTTAGCTCCTATTATTTTAGAATAAGTAGTAAACACTTGATATGTCACGCTACCTCACCGGAAGATGAACTCCTCTCAAACGATATGTGGGTAACAGAGATAATTTATCCAGCAAGTTGGAGCCTAGTTAGCCAGCTAATTTAGCCTCTACCGAGGCATACAACTACAAGCTGACGTTGAGTCCGCTCCTCTCACAACTACAACTCTGGGGCAAGGAAGACAGCACGCACACGCGCATTAATGATGACGTATTCTGAAGGGTGGGCACGTTCCGGAGCACACGCGCACAAACATGTACACGCACATACACGCACAGACACATGTACACACACAAACAAAGTTATATAAAAGTATAAGAAAATAAGAGCGTGATATTATATTTATATTTATTTATAATTATTAAAATGTATTTCTATTTATTTCTATTAGTATTTATATTTATTTGTATTTATTTATATTTATATATGTTTTGCCCAATAGTTGGTTCTGCTGGTAAAATATGGACTGCTAAATCAAATCTAACCTGTTTTATTCTTGAAGTTTTGTTTGGTATTGTTTTGTAGTCTTAACTTACCTATTTTAGTGGAGTTAATATTCAGTGGAAAGATTCTTTACTTTTAGTAGAATCTGTGACTTAAATAGTAATAAGGTCAGAATTTTTTAGTAGCTAATTTCAGACCTTTGTTGAGTAGTTTCATATGAACAACAGATTGTACTGTATGTTATTAAATGAGCAGTGAATAAATAGTAAAATAAATAGTAAATAAATAGTAAATAAATAGTCAAATAATATTAAGTAAATATTAAAATAGATATTAAATACATATTTAAATACATATTAAATACATATTTAAACACATTAAATGCATATTTAAATAACCAGCAATTTATGAGTATAACTCGAGTGTTAGAGGGTTATTTTTCCTGGACAACATTGGAATGATAAACACGTTTTTTAAATAGTTTCAGTGATAATAGTTTAATAAGGCTAAATTAGTTTCAATAAAGTACTGAGGCTGTAGGACAATACTGAGGAGAGATTTATGACCAACTTTTGGATGAGGGAGGTGCTTGTTTGATTGGTCCAACCAGTCACAAGATGATGTGAATAAGGAAAAAAACAACATTGTTGGCGTCTCTACCATTCAGAGCAGCAGCTTCAGCTTCAGGGATCTTTACTTAACTCTACAACAATGGTAAGTTATCGACCGTTGGTGCGACAGAGCTCTCCTCATTCACCGTTTTGCTCTTTAATCTCGTGCTCTTAACGGATGTGAAGTTCCGGACACTACTGAGGAAAAGTGAGACCGCAGATACACTGGCAGCGTTAGCCTGCTAGCCTAGCATGAGTTCCACCCTCTGTCCATTGTGTTAACGTCAAGCTAGCGACAATAGAACGTTTGCTTATCCGGTTATGGATTTCACAATAAAATGTTAAAAAGTTGGGCGAAACATTGAGGTGAAATTCACACACCATTGACATTTTTTTTAATGATTTGATGTGAATCACGCGTTCCAGTTAAAATATATTGTTTTATTTTATAATTATATTGGACATAAAATTTGATAAAATAAAAGCATCTTCAGGTAATATCTCACTCATAAGTTATTAGATCGTTGCAGCATGTATGTCCATCATTGCATTCTAGTCTATTATATTCTTACTACAGACACAATTAAAATCAAATAATGCTGTTAATTGCAAAGCAATTCTCATCAAAACAAGAGTGCGCCATAGTCATTTATTTTGAAGACCAAGCTGGCGGACTTCCTGTAACAGTATAGCTACGTGTGGGTAGCTTGTCATCGCAGCACTGATGTGTTTCTACACCTTCTGGCTCGCTCCTCGCTTATCCTGATGAACAATGATTACCTCCGGGGGGGTTTTGACAGCTGAACTGTCTTCAGTGTCGAACAACATTTGTCTTATTTTTTCACACATAAGATGCATTAAATTACTGTATAGTTAAAGTTAGCTGAGTCTTATTTCCTGCATGAACTATCAGCAAAACCCAGCGAGCTAGCTGTCAGTGACTGGAGGAATTTAAACCACAAGTCAACCTGTGGCCTCCCACGGCTTTTTATTGTCCGTGCCTCTTCCGCATTATCTTCCTTTGCATCCTGTTTTTCCAACTCTCTCTCTCTCTCTCAGTCCCAAACCACAGACACTCCAGTCTGCTCTTAATCTGCAAAGATCTCTCTCTCTGAGCTCAGTGAAATCCGGACTCCTACCAGCCATCTGCTCAGGAAGGTGTAATTATAGAATCCAGAGACTCTTGAGGAATTTATGTCTTTGTGCTGGAGTTAAGTAACGACAGAGGTTCAGACCAATACAATCCTGTTCACACTGGTTTATGTTCAAGTCTGTGGGCCAGGTTGGACTTCTGAAGAAAGATCGTTTTTACTAAAGCAGGATACTAGCATACTGCTTTAGCAATTAAATGCATGAAAATCACGTGACTCTGCAGTCTGTGACTCTGCAGCTGTCTGCAAATATCCTCAAAAACAAGAGGCAGATTTAACTACAACTTATTATTGAAGATGCCTAAATGTTTATTTCTATTTTTCTGATTATAAGCAATAAAAGATGACAGTTGAAGTACTCCATATGTCCATCACTGCAGCACTTTATTGTTGTAAATGTCTTTATTTGTACATACAATTAAGTTTGTCGGAGGGAATAAACTGCTTGCTCCATATATTCATTACGCCAGTTATCCATACTGTAACAGGTATTTTTCTATGTTTTCCATTTTATTAAGATCTATTGGTTTATATTCTCACGTTTCTTTTTTTTGAGTGAACATGTGGATGGACTAGAGGGAATCTGAATATATGTTCTATGTAGCGATGAATACATTTTAATGGGTGATGAGGACAAAAATACATAATTAATTACTCTTAAATACATACATGGAGGCTTTGGTTTGTTCGCTATGTTCAAAGACAGAACATAACAAATACAGAGGAGCTGAATCTGTGTGCTGTGCCGCTGGTTTTTGTTCATGAATTTAAAATATAAAGTTGATGTTTCTCCTGTTTTTTTTTGTTTTTTTTTACCAGAGTGTATCACTGGTGGTGTGTGATGTGGACGAAGAGCTGGTTAAAAAGGTGAAGAAGTTCCGTTTGCAGAAGGACTCTTATAATGCGGCCATCGTTAGTGAGTATTTCGATTTGTTCTCTTACGTGTTTCTCGATAATGTGTTGAGGTCTCAAAACTCTTCCAGTTCCCTCATCACAAAGGCAATGTTTATTTTTCAATGTGTTTCTGGTTAAATGCCTGAAATAAGGTCTGTGGTTAACACACGCTTAAGACATTTTGTTCTACCATGTGGAATAAGTCAGTTGATGCTTTTATGTGTCTTAAAGTGGTTAATAAGTGGCTAAATGAGACGACAAAACATCATCACGCCGTCTTTACGGCCTCCTTCTGTATTTTCCGTGCTCATGCGACCGCGGTGTGGTTCATTTACAGCCTCGTGTTGGCTGTTTACTTCTGGTGATTGCTTTCAGGCTGCAAAAATCCTGTAAGTGGGGTTTATTCGTGACGATTGTCTTGCTGAGTATCATAAACATTTACCACAGAGCTTATTTTCTGCAAAAAATCCAATGGAAAATTCCCAATAGGCCATTTGTCGAGGGAACCATTGCGACGCTAACTTCAAAAATGCATCATCCCTGCAGGTTGAAGAGGAAATATCAATTCAGCATTATTGACATTGTTATTGGTCTTCATTTTTGTGACTCTTTGTATCCACGCCTGGCAGGATGCAGAGTTACAGTAAAAGTAACTAGATTACAGTATTTCTCAGGCGCACAGAGGGAAGAGTTGCGTCTCAATGCAGCAGGTGGTGAGAGAGAGTAGTGAGTATCAAACTAAGCTTCAGCTTTATCCTCCACTATCTGTGGATCAAAATGTCATTGCTTTTAAATTGGATTAAGAGTGTGTTTGCATGCCAAGGACTGTGACTCCAACACATACACACCTTTTACACAAGTACATTTGTGATCGGAAAATATGAGCTGAAACATCATACAACTTGCTTGTTGTCGTGTTTAATTCATTTTCTATACAGAAATCTTAAAATGTGTCACTGTTGAACGTAACTATTACGACTAAACTCATGTGATGGTTTAATGTTTTCTTTCTTTTTACCCCTCAGTGAAGATCGATAAAGACAAGCAGCTGGTTATCCTTGAAGACGAACACGTGGTAAAAATAGTTATTAAATCATTATAATGTGTTGTACTTTATTCTTGTGTCTGAAGTTCATGTTCGACTTTCACTTTTAAAATGAATTCTGTGATGATGTGTAAAATGAGTGTCGGAGGTACAGCTGTTAAATACTTTTCTACATGAAGTGTAATTTAAGAAAATGCTCATTGCAAATGTCTTTTTTTTTTTTCAGGATATTTCTATTGACGATCTGAGGGACATACTGCCTGAGAGACAGCCCAGATATCCTTTGAATAAGTGTCTCAATTTAACCGTATTTAAATGATTTGTCATCGCTTCTTCTTTTTCCGTTGACTATCAGGAGTCTGTGATGTTACAAGGTGGAAAGCTGGATTTCTACTTGAAGTAGACCATTTGATTTAAAATATCCTAAATCATTGTTTTGCACTTGACCAGTGAAATATGTTGACTGTCCTTAGCACCAGGAACATTTGTCGTCTACAGTTACAAATACCACCACGATGATGGACGCGTTTCCTACCCTCTGTGCTTCATCTTCTCCAGCCCAGTGGGTAAGAACTCCTGCAGAGCTGCTGCTTAACGAACGCCACACGTTGTTCGCCGTTCCATCATCTCAGACATGTTATGTTAATGTTGGCGTATTTGTGTTCGGCAGGTTGCAAACCAGAGCAGCAGATGATGTACGCGGGAAGCAAAACCCAACTGGTGCAAACCGTGGGGATGTCCAAGGTTAGCGAGCGGCTGCTAACGTTGATGCTACGTCATCGTTAAGCAGTGCTGATGCGTCATTACAGTACATTCCCATCAGCCTCAGCTGTATGTTGTGTTTAGTGCTGATTAGCGGCTATTAGCGTGCTAAAATACTAAGCTAACATGCAGAACATGGTCAACTTTATACCTGCTAAGCATCAGCATTATAGGTTGTATTCATAGGTTATATTGTTGAATTATTCCAGATGTTTGCTTATTTAGATTAGATTTTGATAGATTTTCTTTTGTTAGTTTTATTATTTTTGTGCCTCACAGAGCTGCTAGCATTTGTTTTTTTTACTATATCATCGAACATCTATTGCATTATCAGCTGGTAGCTTTGCACTAAACTGCCTCCTAAGACTTTTCCCTTATTGTATAAAAAGAAAACGCCACATCTTTGCTCCTTTTTGTTTGTTTTTACAGGTGTTTGAGATAAGAAACACAGAGGACCTAACGGAGGAATGGCTGAAGGAGAAACTTGTGATCTTTGGCTAAAGTAATCTCCTCTGGTGGTCTGGGATGTGAGGAGGATCCAGATTGCACAATCTCTTGGGGAGAACACACCACAGTTAATGTTGCCCTCCTCCCTGTAGCAGACCTGATTTAAATAGTGTTTGAAAATACCTTCTGTACTCGGTTTCAGGCCTCTTTGGTAGAGTTCATGGCATATTACAGTTCAGTGTGGCACTAACTGAACCTCACCCATCTGGCAGCCTAAAACTGACAACACTATTTGATGCGGGTCCGCTTTAGCCTCCCATAAAATCAATCGATGTGCCAGTTATGTGTCTGTATTGAATTAACACTCCCGCAGCTCTTAAAGAGGATTGATAGTACGCATCCTCGCTCCCTAGGCATGTTCATCCAGGATAATTGAAAGGCATTGTATCAGTAGTTCCTGCTACCTTCAGTAGTTTACACACAGCAACTCTGAACCTCTTTAGTTTCACCTTTTTTACGTTTTAAGAATATTTTCACAATTTAAGGGAGTTTTTTTTTGTTTTGTTTCTGGTGTATGTCGGGTAATGTAAGCACATACTTTATAGCAGTGATTTCCTTTTCTTGTGAAAAACAAACTGCCTGCCAGAATATCTGAACAACTATAGTCACAATTCAGTGAACAATATAGAGTTCGGCTATAGTCTTTCCTTCAGTATTAATCTGTTAGATTATAATTTAGGTAAAAAACTGTAATCACTGCAGTCTATAAATGACAACAACACTAAGACCAATCCTAAGACTTGTATGTGATGTGTTGTACCTTCTCCTGTGCACAACAACCAGCTGGCAGAAGTCCTCGAGGTGCTCATCACGCTGCACATTTTGCCCGTCAGTCCATCCTCAGATCACACCTTTTCATCTGTGTAGAGAGAAAACAGTGCAACTCTCGGGTGAAGCTCTATTCTGCATATTTGTTACAACGACATCACACTCCTGTCAACAATATTTCCACTGAAACATTCCAGACTGAACACTTTATTACTGACAACAGACCTCCGTCTCCGGAGACCACGACAGTCTTGAAAACACGGCACAATCTACTGGGCTACTTTAGGGAGAGTGTTGGCTAATATTGTTCATCATAGCTTTTGCTGTTATTGGTGTTTTATGGATGTTGTGCTTCATTCCGCTTGCTTATTAGTGGTCGTAGCTTGACAATGATGGCTGTGACTTCTCCAAGATGCTAGTTGTGCTTAACATTTAGACTTGGCAGGTCATTCACATCTTCCATACAGGACAGGTATAGCTTTTTGAAGGCTGATATTGATATTTGCGTATTGAATGTGCCAGCAGCTCATATCTAATTATATTTTAAGTTTAAATTGAAACACAAACAGAGGTTAACATGACAAATTTTAGCTTTTCAAAACTAAAACAACATACATTTTGTCACTTTCCAAAAACTTGTGGTATCTATTTCGTATTTGGATGTTTTTCATGCTTTTCCATGTTTTCTTGCTGATGATCCTTTTAAAACAGCATTTAAACCAATCCAACACACCAAAACATCAAACCAGTTGCTAGTTCTTTAAGGATTAGTGGCTCTTAACAGCAGGGCGACCAGCTTCAGATAGTTAACGCTACAACAAAATGCACTTCAAATCTGTATTGCTGGTGCTACAGGCTGGTTTTGTGTGAGCGGTGAGAGAGAAAAACTTCCATTTTCTGGTTCTGATCCGTAAGAAAAGCTTAATATCAGCTCTGTATATTGGTCTGACCGTAATAAAGAATAATAGATATACAAATGATAATCATCATGTTCGCCCATCAGTGTCAGCTCTTATTGAGAAACTACTTATTACCTAACTACTACCATACCAATGGCGTGTCTTAACTTTTTATTTTATCATATAAACGTCTTTAAATAAAAATGATAAGGCCAAAATGTAAACATGACACAAATATGTTTTTGGGGGGAAATAGAAGGTGATTCGAGAAGCTTTGTTGGGGGAATTATAATAATTTTTTTCTAACTTTATGATGTGTAAAATCAGACATTTGACTTAAAGATATGTATCCACGATTACACCATTTAAATCACTGATTTAGATGTCAGGGCCGGCTTTAAGCCCACAGGTACAGTGAGGTGTAACTGTAATCATTGATACCATCAAAGCTAAGATGTACACTGTCAGCTTGACGGTCAAATTTTCAAAAATGCGCAGTCAGTCTGAAATCAAAGATGTCTGTCTTTATAAATTTGAAACATGCAATGAACTGATATCTGAAACGAGATGTGGAGAGCTTCTGTAAAATAAATTCAATGCTTTAACGTACGTCTGAATGGGTTTCCTAATGCCACATTCAAGAATCTGCTGCTCTGTTGCATGCATTTTACATTATTTAGTTCATTTGATTAGACGGGATTTATTTGCACACAAACATCTGGTCTCGGCTATGCTCTTTATCTGAAATATTACTGTACTTTCTTTTTTTTCTGTTATTTGTCATAGAAATGCGTTGTAATGGACTGTCCATTGATCATGTATCAATCAAAATCAATCCCCTCATATGGTCGAGTGAACTAAGTGTTCCCTTCTGAGCCATGTATCTGGTTATGTGGAGTCCAGCTTTCGCTCCTACGTGGTGAACATGTATTATTGGGCTTTTTGGGTCTTTTGCTTTAAACTTGCAAATGTGTCGTTGGGCTCTTGCTGTCCTCTCTAATCAAATGCATACTATTCTATTTTCTTTCCTTTTTAATGAAAACGTGTCATTACCAGCTGCCTCATGGCATCAGTGAAACTTGAGATATTTGTATTTTCCCATACTTTATAAAGTGTCTATTGTCCTATTGTTCAAATAAAATGACAGTGATGTTTACCCCTCTGGTTTCAGGAGACTGCTGTTTTCAAACTGACATGTATAACATGCATGTGTGTGTTTATATTGACCAAATGTGGCAAAAGCAACCATTTTACAGCTGATGCGTGCACTAATGTACAGCTGCTTTTCATTATTATATTAAACTATAATTTGTAAGATATTTGGGGATAAGAAGAACAAAATCCAATATGCTGTTAGCGTTTCTGTAGTAGTTTATGGAGTCATAGGAGTGCCATAATTACTCTGTAAAATAATAAGAAAATATATGTGTAAATACAAAGATGACTAAATGAAAGAATATATAAATACATAAAAAGATGTGGAAATTGTAGCACTTGATTACAGCCATTGTTAACAATTTAACAATATACATGTACAGTATCTTCACATGTTGCCTACATACAGTAAATAATCATACAGTCCATGTATTTCCATATATATATTTTCCATTTGTATTGTTTACAACACAGAACACCTAACTTTTATCGAGATGTTTGATTTCTTATTTTATTGTTGGTCATTGGTGTCTTTTAATTATATATTTATGTAACGTTAAAACACCTATTTCGCAATACTTGTGTACATGACAGTCCTGTCTATTGTCCAGCTTTTTTTAAATCAATGTTACTAGCTGTTATTTATTTTTCTGTACACGCACATCAAAATAGATGAATAATAAATGAGTAAAATTCGTTATTTGCTCTCCAACTTGGCAAATAAATTGTAGGTCAATTAGAATTGGTAGAACAGAACTGAAGGACATACGTTACTCCAGAAGATGGCAGTAATGAGCCAAACAGGATACCAGCCAGCTAAGCACTGACTGAAGAAGAAGACGAGCTGACAAATCTCAAATCGGTTGCGAAGCTGCCCGCATCATCTGCCAACCGAGCCAGGAACCGACGAGCAAAGCCCGAGAAAAAAATGGCGTTCACATTCGCGGCCTTTTGTTACATGCTCGCTCTGCTGCTCACGGCGGCGCTTATCTTCTTCGCTATCTGGCATGTAAGTACACATTTATGGACAACTATACATAAGACGGTGGGCCTGTCAGTCCAACGGCGCTGGTATAATCAGGCGAAAGAGCGATGGACGTTGGCAAAGACCCCGGGCTAATAACGCTAGGCCAGCTTTGTGGCTACATAGCCGTTTTTAACGGCTGGACAGAACGTATCCATGCCAACTCCATAGAAACGGCCGCGCGCTCAGTGCTCGGCATACGTAACGTGCATCCGTACTAGAATGAATGGTACACAACCAACCGTTAGCTAGGAGCTAACGTTAGCTAACGAAAACAAATACTATTTTGTCGTATTGTCACAATCCTCCTCCATTGTTCACCTGTTATTGATCGTAGTCTGATTATAGTGAAACGTCAAATAATCTATCAGGCTTGTCAAATGATCAGAGTCCAGCTATTAGCTGACCAGCTTGTTAGCAGGTTTAGCTAACATCAACGTCCAATCCCGGAACGACAAACTTCTCCTTCCCCATATTTCCCGACATGCAACATAGTTATGACCGTTCGTGATGTTGTCAAAATGTCAACATTATAAGTGCAGAATGTAAACTTTTAGGTAACGTAGCCCTGACCCTAAAGAGCTGCATCGTTAACGTTACTCATTTTTACCCCATAGGTATAGTTACGAGAATTATGTACTATTGTCTCATTCAGAATATTACAAATTACATGGAACAAAACTGACCATACATTTTAAATATGATTACCTTGGTGTAACAGAAAACAATTGATGGGTAAACAACAGGACTACAAAGAGGGCATTGCTTTGACAGTGAAGCTTTAACACTAACTTGATTAATCGATAAGTTAAATCAGTCAATTTTGATAAATCTTGTCCAAGCGTTTATTGAAATATGAGAATTTGCTGCTTGAGCTGGTTTGTGTCATTTTGCAAATAGCCGGGTTTTGGACGGTTGGTCAAACAAAACATACATTTTGAAGGGGGGGGGGATCAGTTGATGCATTGCATTTCTTGCATGTTAATAAAATGTACACTAACATTAAGCTGCTCTGTGTACGTTGTTACATTGTGGTCATCTTGTTCCCTCAGATAATAGCATTTGATGAGCTGAAGACTGATTACAAGAATCCTATAGATCAGTGTAACACTTTAAATCCGGTAAGTGACACCACCGACCCTCACACGCCCTCCTTGCCTCTTTGACTGCATGCAGAAATGCTCTGTTGAAAGGTCTTTCATCTGTTTTCAGGATAACTTTGTCCGCCTATCTGTCTTTTTCAACCATTTCTCTGCACTGTTATGCTAAATAACCTGCCTGTTATGAATTCAGAGATCTTGTCAGCTGTCAAACTCTAACGCCTTTTGTTGTTTTGTTTTTTCCTAATCTGCTTTTTTTTTTTTTTTTTTTTACACTTTGTTAACGGCAAAAAGACAGTTGAAAAGGTCAAAAAGATTAAAAGAGTCAAAATTGCAATAAAGGTTTGTACCAATCTTTAAAATGCCCGCTCAGTCCAACTCAGTCTGCAGTCTTGTCATTTTGCACGGAGAAGTGTTTGCAAATGTCTTTTCAGTTAACTAATCTCAAGAGTTGAAGCCAGAGTTTAGCCTGGGATTAGACCACCTGCCACCTGGGCCTCAGGGTTTCTACTGTCATGGAGCATATTGTTTTAAAAACAAATCTTTTTTTTTTTATATAGTTTTGTGAGCATTTTTTGACTGTTGTGGATCAGTTAGAGTGCAGAGCGTCAACTGGAATATTAGTTTTGCCTTTTTTATTGTTGTTTTTATAACTCATCTAACCAATTAAATTGACTGCGTTAAGCTGCTCGTCTAGGTGTAGGAGCAACGGACAACATTAGCTGGGATTAGATGTTACTGATTATTGATAAAGTGTAGTTGTTAACTGAAAAGACTTGCAAATGCTCAAAACATGCATGATCTTTATTACAACCTACCCTTTGTATTGCAAATAGTGTCAAAGTTACTGGTGCAGTAAATTCCCAGTTAAACACAACAGTGACATGACACCAGGCACACGAACAACAGTATTCATGGTAATCATGTAAAGTCCGATCAGCTAACTGGATTCTGTAGCGGAGCTTTTTGAGTAGTGGGTACTTTGAGCTGTGGATCATGGTATCTGGTGAGGCTTGATTGGTTTTGGAGGAAAATTTATTTAACGTTCGAGCTTTAAATTACATTTAATTATTACGCAGTTTCAGATTCAGTCATTAGAACTGAGCTAGCGTATACATGAGCTCAGTGTTGGCTCTAAACCGACATCACCTGTGGTTTAGACCAGATGGCTGCAGAATCCCAACACAGTCCAGCTCAGCAATATTTGGGGCCCACTGATTGGTTTGTGATTTCAGTAGTAGGAGTTATATTTGCGATTTAAAAAGAGATTCCTCACGATGCACTCCACAGTAGTATCTGCAGTTTTGACCATGGACGAGTCTTTTTGCGTGTGGATTGTCAGCTCAGTCGGCACGTTTTGTGCTGAGATCAGTTGTTTTTTTGTATTTGGCAGCACAGTGCAGGATTTCAATACATTATAGCCCCTCCCCCTCCTCACACCTTCTTCCTCCTACACGCCCCTCACCTTTCCATCTGTGGGCTGTTGGTTGCCCCCCACACCCTTCCGCCCTCTGCTCTTTTTGAATGCATGGCTTCCATGTGGTGCCTCCATCTGCCCCCCACCACATCGAGCTCTGTCAACCTGAGGCAGGCTGCTGCATCAACACTGCTCGTGCTCACAGCATGGTCCGTCTCCAGTGTGTCTCCGTTTGTCAGGACGTGGTATGATCTGTAGGTTTGTCCCTCAAAGATGTTGACACGCCCAAATATTCTCCAGAGCAAGTTGTTGATGGGTTTGATGATGCATGACACAATAACCAGGGTGGGAATTTAACCTTTTCTATCCACTTGACACAATGTCTCGTAGATTTCTAAATTTCAGCTTGCATTAATTTACAGCAATAAGTCTGTGGTGAAGGCTGAATGGGATGCATGTCGCACATTGTTTTGCCACATTAGACGGAGGACATCTGAAGGTATTGCGTAAGCCCCACTGTGGGGTCTTTCTTTCCTCGGGTTTAACGTGTTAGTGTTCAAATCACGGCAATTCTGCTTAATTTGACACCCTGTTTATGGTTATCCACAGTGTGGGATCAGTGCATGATGAAGCACTGTTCACGTAGTACCAACAGCACAACGGCTTATATGTGACATTTCTCTGCACATGTAGTAATGTGTAGAGATTGGACATTAAACTGTGACACAATAGGCTTAACGTTTAGGAAATGCATTGTTAAAATAAGCATCTCTCTGTAGCTAATTAGTATTTCACTCCTGTCTTTGACTCTCTGTGGAGCTGAGGACAATTTTTAGACGTGTCTCTTTAAATACCTCGGCTTTGTAAAAAAAGGCCTAATCATTGCCTTCAGGCTCTGTAACTTCGTACTGTTCTGGCTCTAACTTCTCCATGTATTCCATGTGGCTCCTTACTGGGTAATAATTAAGTATTCTGTGTGGACAGTTTAAGAATTAGTCTGTATCTCACTGACAGTAAATCAGCAAACAGACTCACAAGAACATGAGCGTTGGACTGACTGATCGGCGAGTTTGGATTCTGACATTTTTCTTTACATTTTGTTCTTCCCAGCTGGTTCTCCCAGAATATCTCATCCATTTCTTCTTCTGTGTGATGTTCTTCTGTGCGGCCGAGTGGCTCACCCTCTGTCTCAACTTGCCGCTGCTGGCTTATCATGTCTGGAGGTAAGGACACATGTCAGTGCTTAGGCTATCAATAACATCTGTATTGCACGGAGTAATGAGCTTTAACGCACCACTTTGTCTCTGTGATGCAGGTATATGAGCAGACCCGTGATGAGCTGTCCAGGACTCTACGACCCGACAACCATCATGAACGCTGACATCCTGGCGTTCTGTCAAAAAGAAGGCTGGTGCAAACTGGCTTTCTACCTCCTGTCCTTCTTCTACTATCTCTATGGGTACGCATTATTTTTTCTGCTTTGTTTTGTTGTACATAAAACAATTAAAATAAACGTTTCACCCCCCCAGTCTTTAAGCTAAACTATGCTACGCTAACCGTCCCTTGGCTGTAACTTTATTTATTAGCAAGAAAGTAAATAAGTGTTTCAGATGCAGACGTTAAACCCTGTAAAAGCCAACATGGCGACGTGTGATGTTGCGGGTGTAAGTGTTTAACTCGTCCCGCTTTGTCGTCTCTTTGTAAACAGGATGATTTATGTTCTGGTGAGCTCTTAGACGGGACGATGAAGGAAAAGTACCTGCATGTACAGTAGACGACCAGACACTATGATGTTAGTGCTGGAGCACTGGACCTGCTGGAGACCACCGCTCAGCAACAAGACGCCAGTTCAAGCAGACAAACTCTCAACCCACACACGCGAGTGTCATTTTGGAAACATTTAACCCGTTTTAAGAGAATATCTCGGTCGCAGCGTTCCTCTCACAGCACTATAGTTTAAATTTGATAGAAAACGAGGACAAACCTAAATGGACGTCTGTTTTTTTTTTTTTTTTTCCCCCGTTTTATTTCTAATGGTGTGATTCTGATGTTGGATTTAAATAGTTCATCTTGGCTCCCAACTTTTGAGTGAGAGTCTGAGCTGTGCTGCTGAACTTCATTAGCTTCTCCTGTGAATTAGACTCTGGGCTTTAACAGCTCATGTATCACTGCAGCGTGATTCATTATCACTAAAACAAATAGTTAAATGCAAACTTCACTTCTGTTATTGCTCACTGATGCATACGGTGGTAAAAACAACGTTTTGGGGACTTTACTGTTTTGTACAGTACGGGCTGGAGTGCGTTGCACAGGAACAATCACAACCTGGTTGTCACGTCAGTTTCAGAACCATCTGATGTATTCCTTCCATACTTATCCATCGCAGCATTTACATGATGTAATCCCTGTTGAACTCAATGGCAATATTTAAGTGTGAATCCAGAGTAGCCAGCAACGTGTGACCTGTGTTTCTGTAGAACCGCCCTCGCAGCTTTCAATAAACTAGAAGGTAGACTCAACAGTACAATAATATATATATATTGGAGTGTTAGGAAGCAACAGTACTTATTCTCCTTCTGGACTTTGGTGGGACACTGCGAGTATGCCATACTGTTGAATGTACCTTTTGAAATCTTTTAACACTGTCACTTGTGCATTTTCTTCATCTCACCACCAAATATTCCACAGCATTAGGAAGTCCAGTGTTTATTTATTCAATGTTTTTGAATTTTACTTTTTGTTTCCAAGATATCAAAGCACTCCACGCAGCGTCACGTCATCTCCGGTCAACAAATCTGGAAAGTTTTTTTTTTTTTGTTTTTTTTTTTTTTTTAACTTCTCCGAATCAAAAGGCCATTAGACGAACATTTTCATAAATACTAAGTATTTATTGCCATTTTCAAATGTGTACATTTATCAGGGAAAGCTATGGTCATTTGTCACATAAGATTTGTATGCATTAGATCCCATCATGTCACAACTTGAGTTTATTTGAATCTAAATAAAACTATCCAACTCTATTACAATGGACTGGAACGTTGTTTTAACTCAACCTTTAAAAAAAAATACATGAGTGGCAAAAACACTTTTATTAGCGATGCTAGCGAAGTGGCTAATAAAAACAAATGTTATGAGAAATAACGTGGAGCAGGAAAGTACTGATTTGCGCTAGTACAGATTTAAGAAAAGACTCAAAAAAATGCAGCTCATTGGACAAAGTATCAATACAGCAGGAGACCTTTTCTCAGTTCACCTCAACCCTCGTGACAAAAACCTCTTTAAATGTAAACATGCTAATAAACACCCCACCAGCATATCTTCAAGTCTTTAATTTGATTATGAGAAAAAGCAATATATTAAAGTATTCTGTTAAAGTGCAGTCATTAGAGAATAGAATTGTACATCACACCATCAGGAGAGAAACGCTGACTAATGAGATGAGAAGTGATCACCGTGACACCGAGCGCTCTGTGGAAAGCTCTCTGCTCTGCTGGTAGGCGGCATACTTTTCCCGAAACTCATGGAGGAAGTTGTATTGCTACGGAAAAGTTACATTAAGGTGTTAGCTGACATGTTTGTTTAGCAATGCACAGCACTTATAAACAGTTGAAACTTGCTTGACATCACATCGGGTGTAATGGTCATATTTTTACAATTTCATCAAAAGTTACGCTATCGGTAAACGGTCAATGGAAGAAGCTCCTACATTCACTTCAGTCTGACCAATACTCACTTTATATACAAACTACAATATCAATGTTTGAGATTTTCAAAGATCTCTAAAAATATGTCGCCCAATATTTGTTTTCTAACAAACAAAGTAACATTTTTAACAAGGACAACTTTAAACAGCCAATAATAATGATTTTATATATAATAAGTTTCTCACAACATAGTATTTGAACGCAATACTTGTAAGTAGCTCTCAAATCTCTAATGTCAGAGCACTGTATTATAAATACTACGGTATTTATCAAACTAGGTCTAGTTTTCATAATGTGGGCATTCTGACTTGCTGACTGTAAACTTTCAAAAACACGTAAAACTTATAATATAATGAGAAGTAGTAGCACTGAGTCCCTTCATTTTGATGGTGGACAATATTTATTATTAACAAGAATATACAGACGAGGAACTAAATTAAGATGGAAAATTTTTGGGAGTAACATTCAAAAATAGTCTCAACTTACAACTTAATTACTCAACAATAATTGTTCAAAAGATATCTCGAGTAAGTGACAAGTATAAATGGCCGCCTAAACATCTACATGTGTAATGAGGCAACCACAGCAGGGTACAGTTCCTTAAATACAACAGAGTCTCACCTTCACGGTCTGTATGGCTCCTCCTCCTCGGTGCTCCCGGAGGATTTCGATGGCTTTGTTCGCCGTCATCGTCGGAGAGAGCTGAAGCAGCAGACAGGCGGCGACTGAAAACATGAGACATTCACGAGATCAGAGCAGTGAAAGAAAGGGATTTAAAAAAAAAAAAAGGTCAAACTTTTCAACATAAACTGACATATAAAGAAACAAACACATTGATGGATGACACAAAGAACAACTTTCAAAGTAAAAGGAGAAGTAAAATATTCTTACTTAATCCGGAGCGTCCCAGGCCTCCGTAACAGCTAAAGGGGGGAAAAAGAAAGAGCAAAATCCCATCAAAAGCTGAAAGCTGGAAGCAAATCGCTCAGTTGTGTAATGAGAGGTGTCCCGAGGGTGTTACGGAAGATCAATGTCTTTGTGGTGAGATGTGCCCTGGTTCTCCAGGGCTGTTTGGCACTTCAAATATTACAAAAACACAAAAGGGTAGAACCGTTTGTATCGATGTCGATCTTTAACCTTCGCTGACACGGTTTCTACGCTTGCATGTTTGGGTATAAACATCGTGACACACTCTCACACATTAAGAGAGTTCAGTACAACCAGTTCCATTCAGGAGCCTCTCGGGGGGGCCTCGAGACACATGAACCAGCAACCTTCCTCTTCCTGCTCTGGTCTGTTGAGGCTGCTCACCATGAGTGTTGCTGCCACCATGACACTAACAATATTAAAACTCATTAAATCTGTGAAAAGATCTTGTTAGAACACAAACTTTTTCTAATTTTAACAAGATATCTTTCATGTCAAACGACATACTTTTGCATCACTTTTAGACAAATTATTACATTCTTACAAGAAACTTTTCTTGTCAAAATATCATTTTATGTCGTCATATCACAAAACCTACTTGAGAAACATTTCTTGTTTTCGTGTCATGCTGCCATATCCAATAAAAACAAGACGGATCACAACTTGTCATGTAATCACTCTTTTTCATTACGTTCTACTTCATGAGTCGTCTTGTTCATGTAGATCAGCTGAGGTGAGCTCGTTCATGATTTATGATTTATGAATGCTCTCTCTCTCTCAACCAGTCTCATCTTTTGAACGAAGGGTGCGTCATATTTGGCTTACCTTCTGTTCAATAGTTTAATCTGTGCTGTTGTAAGTATGAATGAAAACTTCAATAAAATAAAAAATGCGATCAAGAAAATAAGGTTCATCATCAACAGCCAACTGATTTTAGAAGTATTAACATGTATTGTTTCTGGGAAACATTAAGATGTTAAAAAAGTCTGTATCATACTGCTTTACTCGCCGTAACACGACCAGCAAGACTTCTTCTGACAGCAACTTGAGACAGTTTAAATAAACTAAAGACTTTGAGAGTACTTCCATGTTCGAAGCCATTTCCTGTCCTACTTTTATCCAGAAGAAAGAGGAAGATAAACTGGGAAATGTAAAACACGCTACGTGATTAGACGGTTTCTTTTTGTGCATGTTTAGTTTAACACTGATGCAACTTTTAGAGACTTTTTTTTTTTTTTTTTAATTCTCTTACTGGATCACAGTCGTCCTGTTGTTCTCGAGGCCGACCTGCAGCTCCTCCAGGATCTGGCAGCACTGTTCCAGCTCGGGAGTGTCTCCGTCTGGGAAGGGCGTGTGGTGGACTGTGAAGCCTCGCTGCCGGTAGACCTCCAGCAGGGAGGGAACCCGGTACTTGTTCAGCTCTCCTCTGGTGCAGAAAACAAACACTTCCTGCACCCCCTGGTTCTGGAGCTCTTCTGTTGACAAGAAGAAAGCAAAAAGATGTAAAACAGTTTTTTTTCTCAGACGAGGCCGGTTTATAAGAAGATCGTTTTAGGGGAATATGTTACATGTACAGGTTAGCCAATGCCTCCGGTTGCTTATATTGCTGGAAAATGAGGATTTCACTCTTGCTGCAAACATGAGCTTTTTATTTCCAGTAAAGAGGGCTCACTCTCTGCCATCTCTGCATCTTCACAAACACAACTAAAAGAGTTGAAGCGCTTCTTCTGCCTTTGGACTAATCCTGATAATCAGACCGATATTACATTAAAGTTAATTTCTGTTTCATTCATTTTCACTCATGAAATCTGAGAGAGAACTTAACCCTTTAGGAAATTGTGATTGTGACAAATTGTACTTTCTCTACAGTTTATAGACCAAATGATTTAATAACTCAAATAAAGATAATCAATTGAATTGACAATGAAAACTATTATTATTATCATTATTATTATTAGTTGCAGCCTGCGGTTACAGTATGTGATTCTATAAAATCATGCTCACACACTACATTTCCCAAATCCACTGGAATGAGGTATTTCAAAAGAAAGGCCAAATAAAAGATCAACATGTGAATGTTATTATGGTTGTATTTTATTATTTCATATTTTATTCAAGCACCAATAAGGAAGAAGGTCGTCTTACCGACATCTCTTTCCAGACTCCTGCGGATGTCTTTGAATTTGCAACCTGAAGTCAAATGAGGAAAAAGTTGTTTTATTTTCAGTTTCACAAAACCTCACAATAAAGTAAAAACATCAACATGCAAAGACACAAACATATGATAAACTAGGACTTTACCTGGCAGTGCGCATATCCCAAGAAACTGCGAGCACTCTACTATGGACAGAGGTAACCTTAAAGCCAATCACAAACATATTTACATGTTTACGTCACTACACACATACAAGCAAACTGACTTTCACTGATGCACAAACCTTTTGGCCCCCAACAACTGCTAAAGACTTACCAGGAGATGTGGAAGGGCGTCAGCTGCTCCTCTCCAAAATCCTCCTCTTCAGATGAAGAGTCAAACTCACTCATCCTCATGGCTCCAGCCCAGCAGGCTGTTGAGACAGTAGGAAGGTACAACATGTTTGCTGTGATGGATTATTATGTCTCTGCAAACTGAGTTTAGGTGGAACACAATGGAAGGCAACCCAAACTACTGTATGGCAGTTATGTAAAGTGCAGGATGTCAAAATGTGTACATTATATCACAATGCAATGCTATAGCTCACCAATAAATACCTAAAACCATGATGGGTATGCTCCTTTAAATAAGCGACCATGTCAGCAACTAGCTAGCTAGTCTACACACCAACCTGCACACTATGAATTAAACATGCTATAGTCGGGCTAGGAGCTAGCTTTTTCTGCGCTATTCAAGGTATTAAGCTTCGGATGAAGGCAACAGAATATTCAGAATACATTTATTTGAATGTTGCTTGGAGAGATATTTGTTGCAGATAGCTAGCTAAGCTAGCTAACGATCTGCCTCGCAACACCGCAAACAATTACCTAAAATATTTTTCTTACCATTATTTGAACAAAAAGAAAAAGATAGAGAGATGTATTACATACATACATATATATATTTATATTTACCTATATTTGGCTTCATTTACGGTACGTCTTTGTCTCTTTTCTCACCAGTCACGTTCTCCTCCTGTCGGCTGTTTTGACAGCTCCGTCAGCTGCTGCCTCGATTTTGAAAACTCACTGAGGCCAGGCAGCCAATCAGATTCAAGTACTGTCCCTTAACCACGCCCCTCTACAAAACAAAGCAGGCACGTGTGCGCTCGATTTATTCTGCAGACTGATACACGCGGGCGGAGTGAAGAAAATTATCGGTGACAACATCCATCGATTTTCTAAAAAAAAAAATTTTTATTCAAGGTGTTTTCATTTTTTTTTAATTGTACATGAATTAGCAGAAGCCTGTTGTAAATTTAAAATCAAATATATATATAAAATATGTTATGTATAAAAATGTGTGTGTAAATGGTACTGCACATATGTTTCTATATATTTAAAGTTTAAATGTGTATGTATAATGTATGTGTTATTCATACATATAATTGCATTATGTAAGGCTATATGACACACATCATGGCAGCTGGAGTTACTTGATTTCTGGAGTTATTTTCCAAAATGATTTCACTCATCATTGACATAATCAAAGGCATTGCACTGTGTATAATGCCATCTCTTATCTATTATGTTTTCTTTAATGTTATTCATATTTCTCTGCATAAGAAATCACAGTAATGTTTTGTAGGAAATTGCACAAAAAAGTCACATTTCCATATTGAAAAGCTTTCAAAAACTACTTTCTGAGCATCATTTCAAGTGTTATGTGAAGTAATTAAATAAAAAACATGTATTGGTAAAATAACAGTAGAGTAGAATATAGGTATACTATAAAGATAAAATATTTATATATGATAACTATCATAAGTAATACTTCCTTTGGGACATTTACATGGTTCCACTGAACCTGACTTCCTCAGTTAATCACAGAGCTGCTCACTGAGCGTCATGCGGGACATCTGCTGTCGGCACAGAGCAGTGCGCAGCTCAGCACCAGACACCTTCACGCAATGCAAATGACTGAAACCAAGTTCCTCCACAGGAAAGGAAACACTGGACATTTTAAGTCTTTTTGGAGTCACTGCATCTTTTCAGATGTCCGGAGACGCAATATTAGAGAGCTGTAACTGAGGTGAGTGCCCTTTGGCTTTTTTTTTTTTATACCTTTTGCTTCAGCAGTCAGTGCTTTTCTCATGTTTTTTATGTTGAATTCTTTGATATTTGGAAATCACTGATATGATGATTTTGTTTAAGAAATATTATAACATGCTTATAAGTAGCTATGATCGTCACAGTCTTGCAAGTCTTGTAAAAATGTGATTTCTGCATATTTTAAAAGTTGTTATAAAATGACCTACGGCGATCTGTCATTTTGGTTTAGAACTGATTTTATATGATGTATTTGTAGTTTAAAACATGAGGCTGTCACATATTCCAGTTTTTTTTTGCTGATCCGTGCCTGCCCTTCTGTCAGCAGACTTATAAGGAGGGATCTTGGCTCCTGCAGCCATTTCCCCTGCAGGGCTGAGCTCTTTGGCTGGCTTGCCACTTCCTTAGCAGAGGGGCTGCTGGCAGGAGCGACATCTGAGCAGGTACCACAAACAAACAAGAATATGGACACGAAAGTCATTAAATCTGGTTAAGAATGTCATCCAACCTCTTCTAGTAAATGTATAGGCTTCAGTATATAGGTAGGAGGAATAAATGATGTGCATTTGGTCAGGAAGAGGTTAAAGATTCACTTTTCGGAACAAAACCAGGTTCACTTTCCTGCTTTGTCCCCATTGTGTGAATGCTGAATCTTTGTTTGGAGATAATTACACAGGAGAACACGGTTTTCTCTGCATGGTGGAATTACCAAACTCAACTGTTCTCTTTACAGTTTATCAGCTAGAAATATCAAACAGTCTGTGATGGTCTATGCAGATTATTAACTGGGTGTTTGCAAACAGCCTTGTTTGTGTGTCTCTCTCTGTACAGGTCATGAAGCCTCAAGAGGCCGAGCTCGTCAATGAAATCTCCAAGGTATTCTGCACCTTCCCTCATCAGCCGGCCTGGCTTTGTTAAAGAGACAGCTCACTTTATATTTAAAGCTCTAATTATTTAAAAATAAATTAGCAGCAGATAGTATAAGTAAGTAAACAGTCAGTTTAGAATGATCACAACTCCATAAGTGTAAATGTCAGCGCTGTTGTGAATCTAATTGTATGTTTGAATAATATACGACACCCGCTGTCCCCTCAGTTGCAATGCATGGTGTCGGAGCTGAAGACGGGGTTCACCAGCGCTCTGCTGGAGCTCAGTCAGATCCAACATGGAGACACGTACCTGCGGGAGGAGCTGGAGGAGAACAGGAGGAGCTGCCAGAAGAAAGCTCTCCGTCTGGAGGCGCTGGTCGAGTCTCTGAGGGTGAGAACTCAGATTAGTTTAAACTATTGAGAAATATCTAGTGTTTGAAAGTTTGGTTACAGTGAAATGACACGTCCTCATCTTTACCCGCGTCTTGTCATCCTGCAGGAGGAGCTTGGAGTGATGGGGGGTCAGATCTTGCAGCTGTACAGCAACAGACAGAGACCTCAGCAGGATGGAAAGAGCTCCACATCCAAACACAGAGAGAGGTGAAGAACAAACAGATATAAACTACAGAGCTTTACAGATAAGAAAGTAACGTATATCTAAACAAATCAGATCTATTTATACTGTTATATATAGATATAACAGGATAACTCTTTCCTGGTTTGTGCTGGAAATTTCAGTCAAATCAAAGTGTAAAATGCAGAATAGAACATGAAAGTCTTAGTTTGTTTGATTACAGGGAATCAACGTGTATGCTTTCATATTAATGTTGTCACCATCTTCAGTGGCACACGGCAAACAATTACTCATAAAACAGCTGTTTACGCCCAGTCATCAGGCGATATGGCGTTTTTTAATGAGAGACATGTGAAAACCTGCAGAGAGACATTTTGCCATCTGTCCACTGTCGTGCAGCAGCGATCCAGCAGAACCGGCCTGTGAGCGGAGGCCGTGTGACTGTTCGTCTGCTCCACCAGCCGGTCTGTCCAGAGGGAAACTGCTCCTCCACTGCTTCCTGCAGGGCCTCAAAGCCGGACTGAGCGAAGGCACGGGTGAGCAACGATGTGCAAACGACAAAAAAATGTTACAAGATGATTTCAACTCGTTAAAACGGCAAAACTGTTTTAAAACTCAACAACTTGAGTGAGTTTCTTTGTTGTTACTGAAGCCACTGGACGTTAAAGTGGCAATGCCTCAGATTTCAGTCCTGGTCGATGTAGAATTTCTATTTGAATTGTGCTCAGAGTTCAGCAGTCTGAAGTCTTTTTGTTCAATCAGGTTATCAGAGTTGTGTACATATAGATTGGGATGCTGCAAATATGTTTATATTGCAATACTTATGTTACCTCTTTCGGCCAAAGATAGTAAACAGATTATATATTTAAATGAGAATCACTTTGGAGCACCTGTTAGCTATATTTAGATTATCAGATTGGAGATTGAACTTGATGCCCATTCAGAAACTGTCTCATTTGTTGAAATATGAACATTACGAGTGATCTTTTTCGTCCAGATGCACGACATCAGGTGGCGATGCAACTTCTACATTCTGAGTGGGAGTACGTGTCAACCTTAAACCAGCTGTATGATAAATACAAGACACCGCCAGCTCACCAGATGACTGTGGAGCCGTAGTAAGTGCTACATGTTGACGAAACAGCAGCACAGGTCTGTCCTGTCTTAAAAAAAAACAAGCAACAAATTCTTCCTTCTTGTAACGTCTGAACACAGTTGAACTGCACAGATCATTAATGGTTGCTTACATAAATTCTTTAACAAGCGTTAAACTTCCATTTGTAATTAAAACCCTTGTTTTTTTGTGTCGTGACCCAGTCAGACGTATCTGAAGTCTGTGGAGAAGCTTTTACAGCGACACCTGATCTTCAGAAACACCCTGCAGGAGCGATTAACTGCTGAACACTGGAAATCTCTGGTTGGAGACATCCTGGTGCAGCTCATCGGACAAAACGATGTAAGTTGGTGTTTTTTTTTTTTAAATGATGTCAGTCCATTACAATGAACACTGAAGGTGCTCACGACTGCTTTGACTTGGGTCGTCCAGACAGCCTTTTCGGATATGTACCATGGATACACAGCTACCCTGGCATCATTCCTCTCGCTGGAGTTCAACAGACTAAATCTTTCTGAGAAAATGCAGAAAATGCAGGTATTTTAATTGATAAGCGTCAACATTATTCATCTACAAAGTACCTGGGAAACCAGACATGCTGATAGATATCTCCCGTCTGCGTTTAATAGAGCGGCCAGATGGAGAAAGAGGAAATGAAGCTGCTCTACCTGCTGTTGGCTCCTGTCGCTCGCATCCACGGCTACCTGAGCCACATTCAGGTGAGTCAGCAGCCACAGGGAGTCCAGTTTGTGCAGGTCAACACTGACCCTATAATACTGAGGAGGTCTAAAATAAGAACATCTGAAAAACACAAAAACAACAATTCAGAGCAGGAAATAAAACCAATGAGGATGTTTCTTGAAGGATAGCAGAAGGCCAGAGATTAATGGATGACAAAACACACAAAACCTTCATAAATATTAAAGGCCTTATGAAAGTAGATTGAGAAACAATTTTAGAGGTACTACAGGTCAAAATACATATAGGCTAGTTAATAGGTTATGTTAAACTGACCCTAATCCTTGCTTCGTTGTTTAATATTTCTTCATTTTCCTTCTCTAGAACTTGCTGCAGTGGACCAGTAAGGAGCATCCTGACTGCAGCCTCCTGCTGGGAACTGAGCGAGCCCTGAGGAGCATCTTGTCCCGTTGTCATGTGATCTTGGAGGAAGACGTCCGGTGGGAGGAAGGAGAAGGAGGTGGACAAAGGTCAGGACATCAAGAGAAGGATTAGGATTCACAGATGATCTATGATAATTAAAACTCAGATTGATGCCATTTATATAAGGTTAAATGTTTATGTTTATTGCCTTCCTGTTTTTGTCTTTGGCTCATTAACAAATTAATACATTCACATTCATTCTTTGCATGGCAGCAGCTGCTCTGATGCAGTGACTGGTAGATCCTCTGCAAAGTGCTGCACCAGGAGCCAGCAGACCAGAGAGTCTCAGCGTCAGTCCAACACCGCAGCTCAGAGGTGAGTGTCGCCCTCTGCTGGCTGCAGTCAGTACAGCAACGCACGGGAGCACCTGCAGTGTAAAGATGTGGAAGGAGCGCTTCAATCCTTGAAGAAAAAGTATAAAAGGGTTGTCAGGAAAAGGAATTAAAATATCCGTATTTACATCAAAGAAGATGATAGTGTTCAGGTCATTGAAAGAAGAAAGAAAAGAATGGAAGTAGGAACAAAAGGAAATAAATAATGACAGGAGGGAATGACAGGAAAAGGGAAAGCAATGAGGAAAAGGATGAAAAGAGTAAGAGGAGGTTAGACAATAATGAAAACAAGTACTACATATTTCCACATCCTTCACGCCACTGCCCCTCACTGTCAAAGCTCATGTGGGCGTCCTGCTACAATAACCTCCACTCTCCTTCCCACAGAGACGACCAGCAGCCTGTCAGTAATGGAGTGGACGGGTGTCACTCGATGCGTCTGGAGTGCTGGTCCTGCAGCCCGGTGAGGAGGAAGGGCTGTGGAGGAGACCTGGCCCTCCTGAACCAGCCGGCCCGAGACTGTGGACACGCCTGCTGCTCCCTCCTCACGCCCGACGCCACAGCGTGGGGTGAGAACAGTGACTCAGGCCAGGGCACCTCCAGCCAGCTCACCGGGCAAGGCACCAACGGGCTGGAGGCCTCTCACACCCATCACAGCCTCGAGGACTGCGAGACGGACCAGGACGACACCTCAGCCTTCGACTACTCCTCCGTCACCTCCTGCAGCCCTGACGCCACCCTGCGCAGGGAGACGACGGGCAGCAACAGCAGTGAGGATGAAGAGGAGGACAGCCAGGTGCCGGTGCTGTTGAAGCCCTCCTGCAGCCAGCAGCAGTCGAGGGAGGTGCCCAGAGAGAGGACCATGTGTCTGAGGTGGCAGATTCCCAGATTGACCCCTCATCCTCCTCTTCGCCACGCCGCGGGGCCACGTGTGGACGGGCCGACGCCGTGCCTCGTCAGCTCCTACGGAAAGAGGCTGGTCAACGTCAGGAAGGGGTCTCCTCCTTTACATCCAAAAAGTGCCTTCAGGCCCATCTGGGATGATCCATCCAAACAGGTATCTAGCTTTTTGTTACAACACATATGCCATCAGAACATTTGAAAGATACTATACGTGCATTAATACAAATCTGCATATAGTGGCTTTAATAAAATCAATTAAAATGAATTCAAACTAGACATCTCTAGTTTGTTATGCAAATGAAAACACCAGGGTTATTTTCAGAGTCTTGACAAAGGACAACTCCTTGCAAGTGCTGTTGAACGAAACTCACTCTGACCTGCTCTCTGTATTTATCCGCATCACTCCACGTACCAGGCGGATGCAGCTCCAGAGAAAGACAGCAGACAAGTCTTCGTACCGATTCAAGCCCCAGCGAGGCAAAGCTTTCTGAGTTTCAACCCGAGTAGAGAAAACCTGAGGTAAGAGCCTTCATCAGGTGTGACAGAGCTGTTACTCAAGAGATGCACAAGCGGCTTGCACTAAAACATGGAAACAAAACAAAATTCACACTTGCATTGGTGCAATGCAGACACAACATAAAGATAAAACAACTGGATTAATGAGATGAATGCACTTTTACCTGTTACGTCTCATCTCTTCAGACCAGGCCCGTCTCAGCAGAGAGGCAACCCTGCAGCAGGCCTGAGCGGTGGAGGATTGTGGGACGACAGTGAGGACAGCGAGGGTCCCTGCAGCACCGTCTGACCCAGAGACAAGAGGACTATCGACTAAAACTGTTGCACACTTAAACGTTGAGGTTACAAATGTGAGATTTCTTTGATGGAGACATTTTCTGCATGAATGACGACTATGAGACTCTGAAGTACGTCTTTGTTTACCAGTTAAGACGGTTTTATTTGCCTGTTTGGTTCTTCTGCGGATTAGCTATCGTTGTGTGGGATAAGAGAGATCTAAGAGCAACATTTATCTGAGAAACATGATCTCACTTTTGACACAAAGGGTTGACTGAAGAATTTCCTCGCAGATTTACATTCGAAAAATGAAATATTCCAAAAGCATATTGTTTGTTTTAAACTGGAGGTGGTGATATATGATGACACAATGTCTAACGTTAAGAAAGCTGTTACTCATCAAATATTACATAATTTTAGTATACTTTAATATCCAATGAAAGCAGTCAAGAACCATTTTGGAACATATGCTTTTTTTACTTTCCGGTGGAGAGTTAACATCACTCTTGATTGTGTAGCAACACTTCTGCTCTATTAAATAACTAAATCAACCTCAGCACTTAACGTGTTGTATATAGTTTATGTAATGTGTCCAACAATAGATGTAAAAAGGGCAATTGTTTACACTTTGTATTTTCTCGAATATAAAAAAAGGATCTACGTGTTCATGGGTGAACAACATTTTGGATTTTCTCACCTTTGGACCGAGCCAGGCTAACATTATGCTAAGCTAACCAACAGTCTAGTCCAACAGACACACATGAAAGTGGTTTTGAGTTATTTTGAAGATCTAACTCTCCGAACAGAAAGCAAATACTTCTCAACCTACTCCTTTACAAATTCAATCAACAGAAGTTCATGCAAAAAAGCTGAATGTTCCATAAAATAAAAAAAGAGAGAAATGAGTAGTTCAGTACAAAATAAGACTGGGTGATTTATTAATCTCATGAAGACCATTAATACAAAGCAGTTAAAAGGCCACATACCATCAAATAAACCGACTGCTGGATCAAGCTGTTACAGTGCCACTGGAGGAAAACCAATCTGTTATTCGGTCAGGGCTGGGGTTAAACAAAAACAACTAAACAAACAAACATAGAAAACAGAAGAGACAAATTTGGCAAAATCAACCCCACCAACACTGGTTTGGGAAACTCGGGGAAATGGACAGAACATGAGTGAAGACAGTGAAGTGATTCGACTTCAGCTTCATCCTCCAACACTCCGCTTTTATCTCTAGTTTGATCGGAAGTTTAATCGTCCACCATCGTGCACAAAACACAGCAAGACCGAGAGGAAAAGGGGCACGAGAGATTAGTTTGTTTAATTTTCGCTGAAACCTCGTGGTCGTCAGACATTCTCAGGTGTTTGTGTCTGCAGACATCGTGTGGATGAACGAGAGGTGGTAGACTTGTTTTTTCCATCCTTATCCACGTAGAAAGTGAGTTTGAACAGTTGCATAGGACCATTGCATTTACAAACATGACCTATCAACAACTGTGGCTCTTCAACAGTACAGCCTAAAGTGCACAAAGTGTGTTTCTCTGAAAAAAAAAAATAAAATATAAAAATAAAAATGTCCCAATTCTTCACTCTGCTCAAATACTTGCATCTGAATATCGGTCTTTGTATATTCAACTGCAACTTTAATACAATCCCAACCGGTTTAATGAATGTTAGCATTAAAAAAAAAAAAAAAAGTCTTTGAAAAGGAGAAAAAGGCAATTAGTAAGATGTAGAAAGTGAAGCACACGTCTAAGTAAGTGCTTGGCATACTGAACTGTATTCTTTTCATTGCTTTCAAACAGCTAAGGGGCAGGGAAGAAACAATGGCTTTCCTCAGTTAATACTCCCAGTGTCTCAACCGGAGATTGTCTGTAAGTAAGTTAGTGACAGTGACCTGTTTTTTTTCTGGTTTTGTTTTTTAGTTTTTTTTTTATCCGACTGTAGCAGCATTGGATTATTAGGCAATATTCGACTGAACAGATGCGGATGAGGGTACAATACAACGGGAGGGGGGGGGGGGGGAAGAACTTGCCACTTTATACAAATTATTTAGTTAGTGTATACATGTTATATATACACAGTATCCACAAACATGTACAATTTCATAGTGTATAGCTTTGTTCTAAACATTACATAGGCAACTTTATTTTTTTTTTGCATTTTAGACACCATTTGCTTAAGTAGAAAATAAAATAAAAGGCACATCTGAGCATGATGCATGGATTATTTCAGTCTTTCAAAAGTGAAACAAAAATGTTTTCAAGCAGGAAAAAAAAGAAAAAGAGACAGAAAGAAGAAGTTGGGTTTGAAAAGTTCCTCTTTTTCATGGGCTTTTAGGCATTTGGAGCAGCCACTGGGGGGAGCTGACCCAGCTCTGGTAGGAGGTTGCGCACTTCCAGTGCCGAGTTTGAATACCAATGAAGAAGAGTTGGTCATGGTGGGGGGGGGGGGGGGGGGGGGGGGGGCTTTTGGAGAAAGCACAGTGTCAAGACAGCAGCGCACGTCTGTCAGGGGATCGGTTAAGACATCAGCTGTGGAAGCGTTGGAGAGAGAACGTACAGCTCTCCCCGTCTTCGTCCTGGATCGGAGCCGCTTTGATATCGAGGCAGACCTCCCGCTGTCGCACACCGCTCAGGGATATTGTCAATAGTCTGATGGAAACCTGCTGACTTGGCCCAAACTCGATGTGCAAATGGAGTGTTTTCTCGGCTCTCGCTGTCCCATCCGGGCCGAGAGGACTGGAGCCTGGGGTCACCGCTGTTGGATTTTTAAAAGGCAACAATTTTGTGGCTGCGGAGAGGCCTGTCTTCAGGTAAAAAAAAACAAACAAAAAAAAACAAACAGTCAAGACAGTTTGACTCACGTCTATACAGTCACAGTGTACAGTTGAGATACAAGGTGGGGGATTCAGTGTCGCCTCTGCTATGCGTTTCTTTTAATGTCACATTTGTTTAAAAAAGAAAAAAAAAAGAAAATCCCTTTTCCCCCTGCATAAAATAAGACTTTGGCAACTGTTTGTTTATCAGTTCGTAGGAAAAACATATCAATGGAAATGTTTGCTGCTCACAGCCACTGTGAAAGAGCTACGTCTGAGTGGATCATCGAGGAGGAGAGCGGTCTTAAAGATCTGTGAGCTGCAGCACGACTCCAGATCATGTCAATACCCAAAGAAACAAAAGCATGACATTAGACGCTACAAAGTCCAAGGCCCCCCCACATTCACCCCCACCCTGACAGAGGAGTGGGACTAGGGTAAGTTAAGAGTGTGAGGGGTGAGAACTTTCATCAGGAGCAACAGTCCCGCTCCATGTAGAACAAAAAGACAAACACTCAAACTCCTTGTTGTTTATTAGCTGGCACACCGGTGAGGGTTTCTCATTGGCACAGAGGGTTTATGATGAAGGCGAAGCTACTGATCCCCTGAGAGGCACAGCGGGGGGTGCGATTGGTCGATGCGGAGGGCGGGTGGGTGGAGTTAAGAGTGTGTGGAGCAGTGTTATTCTTTCTGATCAGTAGCTTTGAGTCCACTGTGTCGTAGTTTGCAGGAGACAGTTTGAAGTTTGCATTTCAAGATAACCTCTTGGTGTTTTTAAAAAAAAAACCCAAAAAAAACAAAGCAGACTCACTGGCTGCCGTCTGTGTTCTCCACCAATGAGAGGCCTTGTAGCGGCAGCGGCGGCGGCTGCAGCAGCAGCTCCCTTTTGTATGTCTTTGGTGGGAGTTTGGGGAGTTGTGGGCTGGAGTTGTGGCGTGGGGGGACAGGTGGAGCGGTGATGGGAACAGGAAGAGGGTACAGGCTGTTCTGGCTGGCGCTGAGCGGGCAGCTCCGCCTGGGGATGCGGGGCGACGGCGTGCTGGGCGGGGTGTTGGGGGAGCTGGGGGAGCTGCTGAAGTCCCAGTGGTATCGGCCCACGGGGGAAGGCTGCATGTTGAGGGGGTAGTTGATGAAGATCTCTGGGGGCCGCTGGGGCACCGGGGGAGGCGTGTCAGGCTGAGGGTCTCGGGGTGGCGGAGGAGGAGGGCTGGGCAGGGGGCCATCCATGGGGGGGCCGTTGTAGACCAGCGGTCGAGGTTGGATCCGGGGCAGAGGAGGGGGCAGCCGGGGAGGGATGGCTGGGGGGCTGTCGGACCTGGAGCTCAGCTGAGACAGAGACACACGCAGATCAGAATGGTGTCAAAAGACGATTATATTAGGAAGAACTATTAAGCATTCCTAAACACAAGGTTAGAATATCGTGTACGGCAGTGGTTCCCATCCTGGGGGTTGTGACCCCCATGAGATAAAAATGTAGTCCTTTACAGTAATCTAATTGCGTAATTTGTGAGACAGCGTGCAAGTCCTTTAACGGATATACATTTGAATAATTGTGAATCAAAACACAGCCTAAAATAAATCTTTACTCCAAGTTGTCACCTCAAGGAATTCTATTGTTATTTGCACTTACCACAAATATGTTCAACCCTATCAGACCGAGTTAAAACTGGAGCACGGGAACTTTAGTCTCCAGGCTTAATCAGCAAACTCGTTTGTCAAGGGCCTAAATGTAACGGACGTTCATTTATATGTCAAAGTGTCTGACTCCAGCTTTAAGGTGTCGTCATTATGGGTATAAATGGTGGGAAATGACGCTCCGCTCTTACTTTGGCTTCAGACATTGCGTCTTTCCTTCGTGGCGGCAGAGGAGGAGGCTTCAGCAGCTCCTCCCCGAGCTGGTGGAGGCTGCCGCAAGACACGGACTGGAACTCTGAGAAAAAGGAAAAGACACTCGTATACAGTACGGATCACAGATCAAGAACAGGCCCCGCTCACTGTCACAGCGCACTGATCACAAAGTGAGTGTAAGAGTGATTCATGGGATAGTCAGGCAGAAAGCAAATCAGGAATAAACAACTTCATTGACAACAGAAAAGCACACACTCACTTGAAGGCGGCAGAAGAACAGGAGCAAATATGGAGTTGCTGCCTGTAAAATTTAAAGACGGAAAAGATGATTGATTTCCCAAGAAAGGTGCATGCTCTTACTCAGAAATAGCCACAGTTAAAGTTTATTCTTTGCAATATTCTTTGCATATCATGCATGGAAGTCATGTAATGCGATCAATCTGGAAAACACTGTAAACTCATTTAGATAGTTACTGACTTTTATAGACATGTTGAGAAACTTTCCCTCTCATGACCAAATGCAAAAAAAAAAAAAACACTTCCCGATTTTCAAGAAGGGGAAGAAAAGACGTCAGCTGAACTCACCGCCATACGAGCTGCAGAAGTCGTGATCCATGAAGACCGAGCTGAGGTCGGAGGAGGCCGACTGCGGCGGGGTCGGCGTATTAGGGGAGGTGGGCACCGAGGCCGACATCTCCGGCTCGGTCTCGGCGATACTCCGGAAGGTGATCTTATGCGGGGGCTCCCTCTCCAGGGGGACGGGGTGATTCTTCAGGGTGCCAGAGGTAGACGTTCGCACGGGCCGGATCCCCGGGGATTTCAGAGTGTACATGGTCTTCCTGGGCTGCAGGACGAGGAACAGAAAACTCATCAGCAACACAACAAACTCTCTTTCTCTGAAAGACAGAACCCGGTGCTTCTGGAAAATGTCTTCAAATGTCTCCTTACCTCAAGAGATGTTTTACCGAAAATAATATGACTGACACCTAGAAAAACTTAATACTAAAGAAACAATCCGTAAGTTTGAGATCTGTGGATTATTTAGAGCAGTGGGACATTGTCCCTCGAAAGAGAAGTTGCTGTTGAATTCTTTAAGCTCATTGTTTTCGATGTTTTAAGCACCTGAAAACAAAATGACACCATACCAATATGTTGTCCTACGGGTATGAATCCTGTCCAAGAACATTTTTCTTCACTTATCTGCAGTAAATGTGTATGTGGGACTAAAACGGAGCACCGAACTGAACCTCAAGACCTTCACTACTACAGAAGAACTGCAGTCACACTTACGAATCGAGGAGCCTGCCTGCAGTTCCGTGGCTCAATATCCAGAGACATTTTGAACAGGTAGTCGTAAAACTCCTTCTCGCTCCTGTTGCCCATCGGGTTCAGGTTCTCGAAGAACCTCTGTGCAACAACAACAACAACAACAACAAAAGAGACGTGTTTTGAGTTCAGGATCTGCGAAACACGTGAAAGAGAAAACGATCAGTGTGAGCGCTCACCCTGATCTCGTGCTCCACTTTCAGACAGTAGGGCTGGTTCTGATACTGCTGGATCTCTCCTGTGATTTCAGCCACTTTCCTCCTCTTGCTGAAGTTGATCAGCTCCTTGCCGTGGCGTTTGAGGAAGTCTGGGTTGCCTTCCTCCGTCTTCAGGATGTTGGTTAAATAAATACCTGAGGATGGAGACGAGTTCGATGGTGTTCAGCAGAAGAATATAGGAATAAAGAAACTTAAAACTCCTACTGGGTTTAATATAAATAATGGCCCTTGGGTCATTTCATACATAAAAACACCATAACAGACTTACCAAAAAAAGGCACACAGGGTGGGTTTATTGACTTGAGTTTAGCCAAGTATTTCTTAAAGTGGTCCTGGCTCAGTTCCACAGCCTCTTCCAGGATTTTCTTTTTCCTCTCTGGTATTGCCTGTGGAGCAGGAGGGAGGAACAGTCCCATTAATGATGTTCTGAGGTTAGTATTGGGTTAAAATGCATGTCAGAACAATAAATATCAGATATTTCTCAATAGCTAATTAAAAGATGAATAAAGCCAAATTACAGCATGTTGTAAATTAAAAAGAATGTAGCAACAAACATAAAGGCATCATTCAGAAGAAGGAAGAAACTATCTGATGAAGACGGTGTTTCTTCCGATTGCTTTCATGGCTTCACTCACCTCGAAGGTGTGGTCCAGCCTGTAGACTGGGACGGAGTTGATGGCACTGACCACCTCCAGCACGCCGTTGAAGTTGTTGAGCTCCTGGAAAACCTGCAGAATCTCAATGACCCGCGATAACACCGCCACCCTCTCTTCCAGGTTCAACGTCTCTACAATGCACCTGGGAACGACACACAGAGTTACACATATATATGTATTTCTTTGTCTTTCCAAGACTTTTCTGCATTTTATCGTGAATAAAACATTTGAATCCTTGGACTCACTTCTCGAACCACAGTGTGAGGTTGGTGGTGTGGCGGATCATGCGGAGCAAGTTCGGCGAGTTCTTCTCTTTGTCCTCTTTGGTCCAGACGCTGCCGACCAGCTCGGACGGCCGGACAGCTCTGTTGAGGAAGACAGTTTGTATTTTTTCCAGACAGCCAAGGAAACAACAATATGATCCAAACCCGAATACGTTTGTACTTTCACTCTTTTTGTGTAAACAAACTCATTCACTCTCTCCGTCCACGGCTCGGTCACCTGTACAGCTCTGACTCGAGCAGAGTCAGCTGCCGGGCGATCTCTATGGGATGAAGGGTCATGAGGTCAAAGGAGTCCACTTGGCCCGCTCTGCAGATGTGCCACTCGATGGGAGGAGGCGGGCTCTCGAAGGTGATGTTGTGGCTAACTCCATTTGACTGCGTCTGCAGCTTCCTCCTGATGATCTTATTGATCGACTCAACCCACTTTCTCATCGACTTGCCTAAAAAGAAGACACAATGTGTAAAACGCATGTTGCATGTACACATTAAAATATCTTTGCTAATGTGTGAACACGTGTGTAGTTCTGACCTCTCAGCTGGATCTTGCTGGAGATGTACTCCTCTAATCGACTCCTCAGCTCTGGATCGTTCTCAAAGTCGTAGAAATGATGCTCGACCCACTGACGGAAAACGTTGAGAACCCTGTGAGACAAAAACACGTTCGCAGTATTCATTAATTATATGCATCGTCCTGCACACGAATGTCACACACTTCCAATTTAAAGTATTTGTAGGGAACCTAAGGACAACATGTTCACCAAGAACATTTTCACAAAATTACTGTTTTACCCTTTTTGCCTTTATTGGACAGACAGACAGGAAAGAGAGCAGAGATCCAACATGTCCTCGGCTGGAATGTGCACCATAAATGTTGCGGTCGTTAAAAACATTAACTTCATAATAAATGTCAAATATATACATTTGGACATTAGGAGCCGGGGATCAAACTGCCACAGCCACCCCACAACTGAGTGGCAGGAGGAGCTCTACCAACCACATCTTTATTTTAAATTAACCAAGAAATCCAAATAGTAGAGTAACTGACAGAGAGGTTGGTAGAATAGAGACATTTAGCAAACAGAGTCCTTCACTGAACCGGTTCTGGCTGCTGGCCAGTGTTTATTCTTCAGCCTGTCAGTTCACTTTTTTTAAAGAGTATTTAAAAATAGAAACAGCAAGAACGTTTTGTTGGTGATTTAAAGTTCAAAAGCTGTGCCTGAAGAGGTATTTTCCTGTACTTTGAGTACACTGCTGGACCACATTGTAATGTTTATAACAATAGACCACCCACACTCATTTTTGTCCCGATCTATGCTCAAATACTGAAGGATTATTATCATCAGTGTTTATAATGTACGTCTGTTCCCTAACGCAGACACTGCTGATGCAGAGTACATGTAGTATGCGTGACCAGAACACTTGTACATCACAATGTGCAACACTTGTGTTTGAACTGTTTCTATGACTAAAGTTTAAAGGTTTTTATTGCAGCTGCTCTTAACTGCAGCAGCGGCGCAGTCCGATACCGAGAAGCACGGAGTTTTTAAAATGGTACTTACGGGACTATTCCTGACTCTCTTACTCCTTATAAGGACACAGAGTCTAATGCAAAAGTAATTCTGTGGCTCGCTGAGAACGTTCAGGCCTTAACAGGAGAATGTGAAAGAGCCAAACAACAACAGGAGACAAAGACTCACGAAAGCTTTTGTGGCATTTTGTTTGAAAGGCCTTGCTGGGAAATAAAAAGAAAGCAGCTAAAGATGGAAGAACAACTTTCTACATTTCATCTACACGTTTAGAGACTCAAGGGAAAACAAAAACATTATTATGTAACCAATTGTATAACTCCACCTGTAAAATAAACTTTTTAAAACTTCAGAGATCATTTGACAAGTTGACCATCGCAGATTTAAGACGAGCCAATCAATAAACCCGTCTACATCATGCTCTAATGTTTTTAGGGTTATGGTGTTTATTTCTTTTGTATTTTTATTTAGTTTGCAGGAGTTATGGCATTTATTGGCAGAAATCGAATATAATATTCATAAAAAAATGTTTTCATTCGTGCATAATTAACTGAAAATAAGAATCGTGTTTTCTTTGCTTAGAATAAGGCGTTAATATCTAAATAAGGAGCCGGTCCTCTTCACCGAGTTCCACCGCCAGGTTTCTACAGTAGCCCAGAATGGACAAACCAAACACTGGCTCAAGTGAGCGGCTTTTGCATTTTTACGTTACCTAAAGGCCACCGTAGTTCTCCAACACACTTGTGAAACTGCGGTAATGTTAGCTGCCAAGTGCAAACCCGCGGTAAGGTCAGCCGCCGTCTGTCGTACCTGAGTTGGACCGGCTGCACGTATTCCTTCCGGAATCTCTGGAGCTCGGCCGCCATTGGCTGGTCGCCGTTCCAGAGAGCCTGTCGGTCCTCCTCAGTCGGTTCTGGCTCAGGGATCTCAATCCTGAGGAAAACAACAATAAGACATCTGATATTCCAAGATGTCAGGGCACCCCACACCACCACATCGCTGAGAGATATATTCTCCAAAAGAAGACAGATGGACGTGTTCATATCTGAACCATAAGAACAAACAGCCACAGCAATGAAAATAGCGCTGTGGTTAAATCGTACCTGTCTATCAGCAGGGTGAGGAGCTCTTGTGGTTTGCAGAATGATCGGTATGTTGTAAGAAACGTGCGCACAAAGTTAGGATCTACAAACAGATGAAAAGGATTAGATAAACAATAATCATCACAATGTATCTTCGCAAAAATAAAAGTTTGCAAAGTGAAAGAGAAAGATCTAAAATGTCTCTTAACTAGAAGATCTATTGCAGCAGCTTACCAGCATACATATGGTAGGTGAGCCTCTCTATAAGCTTGACCACTGTGCCGGCCTTAATGATGGGGATGCCCGTTTTGCTCTGCACTTTGTCCTCAAACACAATATTCTCCTCAGAGTCCTGGACGGCAAAGCGGTAAACCTCCGGGGAGGGCAGTCTTAGAGGATGCGCCTGCTCATCGTGCTGCAGCACCGTGTCCAACATGCGATCCAAAGTAGAGCGGTACTGCAGAGTCACCAGCCCGGCCATCCACGCCGCCTTCTCCTCTGCTGTCCGTGCACAGAAAACGGCACAGTTTTCATCCTTTCCTATCAGTTCAAAGGCGTGCCGCAGATCCACCGAGTCCTCGCGGTCCACGATGCGGATCTTCCTCAGCACAAACTTCTCCTTCAGACGGTACTCCGCCCCGCTGCCCGAACCCGGGAGCCGCGAGCTCTGATTGGCCTTGCAACTTATCATCAGGCCGTCAAACAGGAAGTTGTGTCTCTCGTGCTTGGCGCCGGCTCGTGCAAGCGGCCCCTCCAGGATGAACTCGCTGCAGCACTGACCGATGTCTTTTCCCTCCCAGCCGTCGATGCTCTTCTGAATCTCGTTCATGCGTTTGATGGCGAGTTGTTTGCTACGAACCTGCCTGCTGTACAGGCGGTACATGGGCTCACTGTGAGGGACGAGAGACAACCAAAGAGATCAACGCACAACATCAAACATTAAACCACTGATATATCACCTCCGACAGCGGGTCTGAGCCCCTGCAGCTGCTGGAAGCAGGTTTGCGATACAACTGTTTAACTGAGAACTACTTTCTGCCATTTGGTCAACAACATGTAGACAGAATGACTGAATGAATATGAATCATTATGAACGTTGGTAGAGGAGGCGTACCCAGGTTTACGGCGAGGCTGGTGCTTGGCATAGATGCGCTCCACGCTACACTGGAGATTAAGCAGCGCAGTGATCGCCTGTTTCAGACACTCTCGGTCATCTTGGTCTTGACTGCGCTCCTGAAGTTGCTGCAAAAAATTGCCAGAAAGCACACACATCAGATATGTTGCAGTATTTCATAATGCAGAATCTATGGATGTCATGGCAGGGCCTGCACAGGTCTTACTAATAATATCAATGACGGCATTGTGTTTAGCTGAGCCAACTTCAGAGTTGTGGTTTACAAAATGTCTTTCTGTGACAATAAATAGAGCCTTCTTTAATATCATCATTCACACCTCTGCTTATCTTGCAGTAACAAGTCAACTGTGAAAAACATTTACACAAAAGCTGCATAACAACACACATAAAATAAATGAAATATCAACAACATGTTGAAATACAGGAAGAAAATAGTAAACTATGTAGCCTAAACTGAACTTAAATTCTTAGTCGACTTTTAGTCGGTTTTGTAAAATAGTGTTTCTCCACAAAGAATCACAAAAGCACCACTTTAAATGTTGTGTTTATCTGAGATGTGCTCATAAGTTATCTAACACGAAAAAGCATAAAAAACGACTAACTGACTTAAGAAATCTTAGTCGACTAAGACCAACACGACGGATTAGTCGACTAATGAAATAAGAGCCATATTGTAGTGATATTTAGAGGATATACAGACACATAAGTTATAGCTAATGGCTAATCAAGCATCAAATATGCCACATTGTTGGATCAGCAGCTTTGAATCTGACGCGATGATGTCAGGACTCACCTGCAGCAGCTCAAAGTAGTGCATACAGTGGTATACTGGGACCATCATCAGCTGTGGGAGGACATACTGGACGGCTTCTTTGAAGCCTTCTGCAACTGACTGGAGACACAGAGACACAGACGTACTGTTAGTGACGGACATTATTGACAGATTTGAACCAACCAGCAAGCGATAGAGAGACTCGGTCCGCTAAGGGGGTTTTCGGTTTGGTTAGTTGTCAGCGGGATTACGGAGAAACTTTTGTCCGGATTTGAATGAAACCTGGTGGACGGGTGTAGAGTGGGCCGAGGAAAAACCCACTCAATTTTAGAACGGATCCGAATCATGGATCTCATACACTTTATGTTTCACTTATGAAGTGGCCTTGGCGAGGTCTGCGCTCTGAGTGCCTAAGCTAACTAATGTTCCCATTTACAAATGTTATTGTGATTTATAAAAAAAACATTTAAAATAGGGCTGTCACAATAATCGTGGCCAAAAGAATTCACAGTAACAATATCTGTAGAAAACTTGATCATGCTGTCAGTCAAATTCATCTTTAACTTTGTTTATCGTGAGTTTTGTCTCTATTCATTACACTCAAAATATGAATGCAGGGCAGTAGAGGGAGAGTATGTAAACAAAACTATATATATATATATATATATATATAAATGATTTATTATTAGTATTTCGAGTCCAAAATCATTGATTCTCTCAGAAGCTGAAAACAAATGTCTTTTCTCATCCAAGATACAAACACAAAAAAATACAAATTCATATGAAACTTTGAATGTTAAATCGCTGTGTTTGAACCTGTCTGACGCGTGTGTATTGTGGCCCCCGAAGAAGCCATTTTAAAAAGGTGTTTCTGGTTTTATTCACACGTTCACATCGTCCACCATGATGCTGTCAAAATACTGCACATGATAAGAGGACTGTGAAGACGAGGTTAACTAAAAAGCAGACGTTTCAGAACATAGATGAGACTGAAGAGGCTGCAGGCTGACGAGTGATGGAGGGAGAAGCGGCTGACCGAGTAAAGGCTTCAGGGTAACCGGAGAGGAGGCCGTCACAGCATCCATTTAAACCTCCCGTTCCCCTGATAGACGACTCACAATCAATACGCTACTACTCAGACTCCACAGCAGCGGCCACGCCGTCTGTGCGGGGAGGAGATGAAGAGGCTCCATGTGTGTGTGTGCGTGTATATGTGTGTGCGTGTGCGCACGGAAAAGAAAAAGACATCAGCTGCCTGACGCACGCTGATGGGCAGCCGGGGGAACAATGACCTAAGTTTAGATCACGTTATTGATACGTCAGCATCCTGCAGCTTTACAAATGGCCCGCGAGCTTCAGAGCGGCACATTTAGATGCGTCACAATCAGCAGAATGTTTTTAGCTTGATTGGGTGCAATACTGGTACGATGCATTTTTAAAGTGTGCAACAAATCTCCTGATACACAAGTAAAGTAAGCATTTGTTTCAAACAGGCTGCGATTAACCGAAAATGCAGTTTACACAGGAAATAATATTTGAGGATGGTATTAATCTTCTCATCTAAACTCTCAAGAATCAGAATATTTCCAAAAACGTCCAACTATAGTTCGGATTGATTGAATACTGAATGAAAGAGTACACGTAGAAAGTACAACGTCAAAGTAAAGGTGGTGTTCTTTCAATTTGAAATAATCAAAACAATTGTGTTCCTCGAGATGGGAGAATATAGTGAAATCTAGATGTGATGCTAATGACATGTGAGTCACTTTGTTAGCTTAAGCTAAGCTGCTTTGTGTTGCGTTTTGTTCTGGAGGTTTTAACAGCTAACTTTGAGTTATTCTTGCCCAAAATGGTGTTTGTGTATAAACTGCGTTATGAGCCAATGTAGCTTCTTCTACACAACAATAATCTGCATTAAGATCCAGAACTACACGGACATCTCAAAAGAGATCTCAGCTTAATGTGAAGGGCATCTGATGCGAGCAGGTAAAGTGGAAATAAAGTTGATATTGCGTTGGATGACGTGTTGAAACGAGTCTCTACAGGAGCACGCATCCTTGTGACGGCAGCCTAAATATAAACACACGGTGCAGCAAGAATACGGTACAGAAGGGCGAGGAGAACAACATGTTCCCGTTTCACAGAGGCACAGGGCTGCTTGAACCCAAGTCGTGGGTCTCCTGCTGTCTTAATTCAGAGCTTATTTTCAACATGAAAAGCGCCTTGGGCCACCAGCCCCCCCACCTCCTCCTCCTCCTCATCAGAAAAATGGCCCGCAGTGTGGCTGCCCGTTCTATTTTTAAAAAGGCGATGTAATTTACCCACAATACCAGACACTGCAGAGTGCAGGGGCTGAGTGCTCGACAGACACATCCATCCGACAGAGAACGGGGAGGGGAGGAAGTCGAGAAGGATAGAGTGAGGAAGATGAGGTACGTGCAAAGAGACAAAAGCTTGACGAGGCAGAGCAGAAGAGCCGATAATGATGATGATACTACCAGGGGGTTCGATCTGCACTACAGCAAACCTGGTAGTATGGATGCATTTAGACCAGGTGCTGTGGAGGACAACGTACACGTGACGCTGGAGAGACGAGGAGACGGACAGCCGTCGGGTCAGAGATGAAACACAAAGTGAGAGAAGCTGAAATAAGACAAGCCAACGGTGCAGAAACACGGTCAATTTGATGAAGAGGGTGGAAGGTGTGTGTGGGGTTAGAGGGGGGGGAGGCTGGTGGAGACACCATTACACCATCAGCCACTGAAACACACACACTGGTGGTATTGCTTCTATCAAGTTAATCCTTGAAGTGTTTCTTTAAAGAATAATGTATTTGGTCCTCTGAAATGGATTTCCCTCATAATGACAATGCGAGTGAACCTTTGTTTTGTTGTACTGTTGTTTGAAGAACAACTTCGATTGGTCAGACAAAACAATGAATTAATCAACTACTCAATTCAGCCGACTGAGCCGACATGTCTACCTCGGGTTATACACCGTTGTGGCCTTCAAGAAAAATAGCGAGTGAAACAATGCAAGGTGTTTCTAAACAAATACAGCGGCGCTGCACAAATAAAGCTGTATTTTTAACTCCTGCGCCCTTTCCCCCACTCTCTTACAATGAGTACATGAAAATAAACAGTGGGTGTGGGCAATCAGAGGACAGTGCCATCAGTGTTGATCTAACTGGGGTTAGAATGGTGGTTCGAGGGTAAACACAGCGAGGCCTCAACCCGAGGTACAGTAGCGCTGCAGGACGGTCGGTCAGCAGCAGCGTTTGTGGCGTTGTATAGATGTACGGTACGTCTATCAACAAAAGATCTTCATGTCCATTCAAAATGGCAGGTTGGTGTTAACAACCTGGAGAGGAGCAGCAGAAAACCACCTCATACAGTAAACTCTGCTTCATGTGAACGGTCGGACTCGCTGGTCTTTCGGCCTGAGAAAACACCAGCAAAATATTTCGTCTTCAAAGGCTGCACCCCATTGAGCATAATTCAATGCTATTCTTGTGAAGAATGTCCAAATAAAACAATGCGGCGGCAGTGAATAAACTGTACACAGGACGCTGGATATGTCATGACATGCCCTCAAATGATATCGGGAGGAATTCCACCAGGTTCACTTCAAAGCCAAACAGGAACAAATATTCAAGCAGTGTTTGCTTGGCGGAAACGCATAAATGACCCACTTCACTTGTGCCTTCGTAGTTAAAAACAAACCTCCTTTTTCCTTCTCTTTTCAGGTTCATGGCATTTGTTCCGTTGTAAGAAAGTTTACGTTTGAGAACGACAGGAAAGAGCGGGACACATAACGGCTAATGGCTGTGGATTTAAAGTCATAGCAGCCACGTATTCAACAGAAGTGTTGAAAGAAATTGAGAGTTTCTAGACATTTTCTTTAAAATATTTTATGTCTTTTGTTATTTATTTATTTATTTTTTTTTAAATGTGACCAATTTTATATTATACTAATGCAGGATATGTGCATTTACTTAAAGTAAAAATACTTTTTAATACCTCAAGAAGGAAATCGACCAGCTAGACTACAGTTTACACGGTTGTTTAGTTTGATTGAATTTGAATAACTGAAATATTCAGTGCACATTAGCAAACATAACTTTGCATTAACGACAATAAAACTGTAAGTGCAAAGGACAAAAATCAGGAGATATAGATAGATAGATATATTTTTTTTTTACCCTTTTCTGTAAGATTACTCGTGACATGTCCCCAAATGTGGAAAATCCTGATTTGAATACTTACTACCAATACTAATAAACTATCCACTTCTGTGTATTTCCTGAACGAGCCCAGACGGCCGAACATCTTACCTGGAAGTAGAGGCCGGCGGTTGACCGCGCCATCAGGTTGTTGAAGTGCTCGTGGAAATCCTTACTGAGGATATCCTGAGACAGGGTCTCGTAAGGGTCGAACGCCTGCTCCTACAGACGAGGACAGAATAACTCAACAGTCAACATCTACTACACCCGACCGTGTTCTCACACTACGATGAGGATGCTCGGCTGCAAGCGGTACGTCAGATACAAGCTAATATCCCATGCGCAACATTAGCTTAAAGAGGTATTAGTTACTGAGCTGCTAGTTTACAGCAGTGAACATTTTGCGTTTAATGGAACGTAAACAGACTTCTGTGTCATTTTTTACTGTTACAAATAAAATGTCAACCTGTGGAGTCCAAGCGTCTGTGTAATTTATAGACTTCACAATTCAGATTCGGTTAAAAACATTTGGCAACACACATCTGGAACTAATGCGTTTTAAGGTTTTCTCAGGTCGGTGGGATTCATACCTCTGCTAGGTCTTCAAAGCAGCTGCCCACCAGCGGATGAGGGCTGCCATCAGCCGTCATCTCCACGGCATCCTCGATCAGTCCGAGCAGCTTCACCGTCAGCTCGTGGATGTCCAGGATGTTGCTGAAGATCACCTCCACGTCCTGCACAACAACAGGGAAGTTAATTAAAGGGTTGAGAGGTAGGACCCAATCCTTAAACCAACTCGGAAAGTCTGCTGCCGGGAGAAGGATTAAGTACCCTACTTACCTCTTTCTCCTCTTAAAAAGGGGGAACTCCACCGAGTCTGTTTACAGGCTGATTTGAGTTGCATTGTGGGTAATGTAGGTGCCAGGATAACGAAAAAGACTACATCTCTTATCTGCTGCACTAACCTGCTTCATTGGCATGATCATATACATGATCAAGAAGTTGTTGTTCTAAAATATTTAGTGCCCAATTTCAACAATTTGAATCTTTCTTCTCAGAGTCATTACTTTAGTGAGACGCTCACTTATCATTGTCTCCGATATCTATCTGAGAAGTCCATAAATCTGCTTAGAAATCAAAGAAGAAGAAAAAGACTCTTTACAGCTCCAGAACTTTCCTGAGAAGGATCACGTTTTAAAGTTTTCTTCAGTATCAAAGTGATCCAGTGATAGACGTCTGTACATCTTTGGGTAGACTGCAAACAGGAGCTGCTAATCGCAAATTCAGCATACTATTAATGGAGCCACTTTGCCCTAATTTAAACAAAGTAAATATAAATGCTGGTGTCTGCACAGTGTCAGACTAACACTTTACATTACAGCTCGGTAATAACATGGTAATAGTGGGGTAAATAAATTACTAGCGCTACCAATAACGTTTAAGGAATTTAATAATGTACCCACGGCGAAACTTTGGTCAATTATTGAATATGTTTTGCATTGTGGCTACACGCGTGCGACTATTTTCCTTTAGACTTAAGAAATCCTCTTACCACGGGAAGCTGACAATAAGGAGGTAAGTGAAGTGCATGTAAACACACTGAAGGTGTTTAACCAGAGGAGCGTGTTGCAGGGTGTTTGCTCTCTTAGATAAACATACGCTAAAAATAAAAAAATCGTGTTGGGCGTGAGCACTAAACAACAACAAGCAGACGAGAGCCCTAAAATAGCAGCGAGTGATTATCGACCGCTCAAGTCTGAATAGACGTTCGGTCCCGTCATTATTCGACTGTAACACTTTCTTGACATCTCCCGAGTAATTTCAGATTACGCTGTGTTTCAACAGACATAATTGAGGTTATTTTGGCGAGGGCTGTAGATGTTGTTCCTGTCTCAGCATAATTACATGTTCTGCATTCCACTGGGCCTCACAAAGGTTTATCCTCCTCACCCAAATCATACCGCAAATCACCCAACCCAAAATATGCAAAGCCACAGCGACCCATTACACTCAAATTCCCATTCACTTCCTCTCAGCCCATAGACCCGCCGTTCAACTCCTTACTCGCACGTTTTCCTTTCTGTTCCGGAGAATTCGGAGCACTTAATTGCCATATTAGACAAAATGTAATTTGTTTCTTTGGTTAACCTTCTGTGACAGATATGAAGGTGTATTTACTGGAGGGGTCAGAGAGCACGGGTGGCGTCTCAGGAGACGGTACAAAGCAGGCGTGGACATATTGTCCGTTCCAACGTTCTGCATGCAGGATGGCTTCATTGGCTGGTCGTCGATCAGAAAAGATGAATGTCTTTCATCTCAGATAATAGATTAGAGAGTAATTTGGCATTTGTTCTGTCTGCAGTGTTCAGGAACCTCAGACTGAGAAGCTTCAGTCGTATCAAAGGAACATTTTAAGTACTTAAAGGGAAAGCGGAAAAATACCGTCAGGTTGTCTCTTCTCCGGGTTTAATAACATAACTGTAAACTGTTTGCGTACTTCAAAGTGATTCCTGATGCTGATTACCAGTTAGCGGATTAGAGTTCCAGTTGTAATCTTTAAATGTTCTTACGCTGGATTTGGCAGAAATTGCTTTGTAATTAGGTTCACAGTTAGTTGGAAACTTGACTTGTTGTTTATAAGCCGGCTTTAGAGTGAGCCGGCAGCAGCTACTGTGTTCAGCACGAGAGCTGGAGGACGTCTCTGAGATCAGCGTCCGGCACCTTTAGGTGAATAAATGTGTGATGGTGGGTTATTGACTTTAAAAAAAAAAAAAGAAAAAAAACATTTTTAATACAATACTAAGATTGTGGATCAGCCATTATTTTACACTTGTTTAATAAGCAACATTTAGAGTTTCTGATGTAATATATATACACAAATCCTACAACCAGTGTTGTAGTTCATCGTGTTCTGATCTGCTCTCCTCTATCAAGCTTTGTCAAAGAGGTGATAACAATTCATTTTTATGTTTTAAGATAAACTTCACAGAGTGACAAGTCAAGCTTTTATTAGCTATCCGTGCTAGCGTAATTTCCCCGCTGTGGGACTAATAAAGGATTATTTTATCTTATCGCCATTTCCTGTGGTTGTTTCACAGTAACCTACGTCTGCCTTCACAGAGGGAAAAAAAAACAAAAAAAAAAAAAAAAACATTTTATTACTAAATATATACAGAAAGTTTCATGTTATTATCAACAGTAGCTTCATAAGTTAACCTAAACGTATTGCAGCAATAGAATAGTGGAGTATGTGGGCTCCTACTGTGACAACTAAAAAGGCAAATTTATGCATGAGGATCGACGTGGCACCACATCATGAATAAAAACTGTAAATATACAGTGTAAATGGAAAGAAGTGTGTGAAAATAGGATGGTAATGATTAAAGTTTAGTCTGTATTCCAGGTATTATAAAACATATCGCAATTTTGACATCTTTGTAATTCACTGTGCAGGTATTCCTAACCTGAGGCGTGAAGATTTTGGGGTTGGACAGGAAGTGCTGGCGGAACACTTTGATGATGAGGTCGAGCTCTCGCAGGTACTGCCGCTCCTCTGCGATTTCAAGCTTCACCAGGTCGTCGTACGTGAGCTCCCCGGAGGACGACGGCTCCTCGGTGCACTGAGACATCAAGCCGATGTCCTCCTCCTGGTCAAACATGTCCATCAACACCTGGAAACGAGTGAATGGAAGCGATTAATCAAGAGTCAAAGCCGTTGTCCCGTGAGACGTTTCACACACGCCCAAAACCTGCATCAATCCACCTGGGCGTCAGCATCTCTTTTCCTCACGTATTCTCACCTTGTCTGCACACATTGACACCTTGATGTCCTGCTGGCTGATTTCATAGTGACGAATGTTGCCGACGTAGTTGCCCGCCAGTTTCAGTATGTCTGCTGATATGTATTCAAGCACAGCCACGATGTACAGGGAAACATGGTAGTCCACTTTATAGCCCAAAACCTCCTGTTGGGGGGGGGGGGGGGAAGAGCAGAAAAACAACGTAGTAAGTATCTGTCTGAGCCTGCATGAAGGACCAGACTAGACCTGAACCAGAGTCCTGCATCGGGTCAGGTACCTCCGGGTGACACGCAAAATAATGGTGATTCACAGGTGGTATTCTGTTTTAATTATATTTCCAGGTTCGGTTCTGGATCTTGTGTTGGGTTGCAGATCTAATTGGTAAAAATGTGCGGGTGTTTGGGTGGCTGAGGTATTGCATGTCGCGGTGCTGAGGCAGGAGACGGGTCAGGACTCTGGTATGAACCAAGCTGTCAAAACAGCAAGATAAACTGGATTACAAATATTTCCCAGCAACTGCCGTAACTTTCTGGTACTAGCGTCAGAGTCAGCGACGTGGAATGAGATCGTGAACCTGGCTACCGTCCAGATTCTGTGAACAAAAACACGCCTTTCAACCTAAATAATGTGGCTGTAAAAATGCACGAGTGTTCAGCTTTATGCGACTGATTGTTGCGGTCTTTAGGAGTCTTTACCTTCAGCAGTGGGTGTATCTTGTCCACAGGGAGAAGTAAAGGGTTTCTCCTCTTGCGTTTCTCAATAGCTGACTGGGCGTCGGCAATCGCCCACTTATCTATCGGGTGGGGGAAAGTTTTCTGGACACGTTCCTGGAAAAAAAAGGTAATTACTCTCTTAACACTTGATACATTTGGAAAGCATTAAGGTGATTGAAAGCTGCAAGTATTCAATTAGTTACGTGGTAGCACATGTTTCCTAAATTGCATTTTGTCAATTTTCAACCGATTATGAATATATATTTAGACGCTTTACTTCTACGTCCTGCACGGAGCGAGGCTGGGCCACACACAGCATGCTGAGCAGCTGCAGGATCAGCTCCTCGATGTGCTGCAGGGCGTCCTCCCTCGCCATGAGGTTCGGGTGGACCTGCTTCTGAACCTGAATGTTGAGACACAAACGTATGAGAAGAGATCAGAGGCAGGGACAATGAGGCAGGAGCATCCTGTCACTCCACCACTGCCGTTATTGGTTTTCATCGGCTTCACCAAGTGGATAAAAACGTCTTTCTTCTGCACTGCTCACATGATCTCGACTGCAATATGTGAAACTGATCGCAACACCTGGTATGATGCACCGAAACTAGGCTCAAGTCACGTTTAATGAAGTCACAGCAGCAAGTACAGGCAGCGACTGACGGAAAACAAACACCATATCGTGGATATATTGGTGGTTTTCGCATGTTTCAGCCAATAGCTACAAATCATACATCATTTTCATTACAGCTGGTCTTTTCTTATCGTAGTGAGTAAAGTGAGTAAAAAGCGGCTGCCTGGAACTCAGGAAACTAATAGAAAACATATGAAACACATGAAGTTTGTTCTGCTGTAATATAAAGTATACAAGATTTGTCACTTTTGGGCCAAAGCCCACAAATCCACCAGCATCTAATCTGGCTGCAGACAACCGATAAATCTACTCAAGGCAATTATTCAGCCTCAAATTAGTCTGAAAGACACTTCTAAAGCAATAAATCTGTCAACAAATATTATCTCCATATGAACAGCATGAGATATGCGTTTAAAAAGATCTCGTCGTGGGACTCCTGAGGGTGGAACCAGCCAAACAGAAAGTGTGGTTTTAGGTGCAGACAGAGGAGAAGGTGTGGCTTCACCAGGTCTACAAGTGGAAGACATGAACACCCCCCCCCCCCTCCCCTCTCTCTCCCAAAAGTTGTCGTCATTCGGGCCGTGCCCTCTCGCAGGAATGCTGTCAGTTGAGATACTATTATAGCACCCAAAGCAGACTTAGAGGGGGAGAGAAGCTGTGAGAGAATGAGAGGAGAGAGCGGTGGATAGACAGACAGCCTAACATTTACTCTGCACTCATTAAAGCCCGGCCTGTTCACAGGCTAGTGATGGAATCACCCTGGCATATAGTAAAGCGGGGCATTGCGATGACAAAACGTTGCCCCCGGATTTAGGAATGTGAGAGGAGAGTTAAAAGGTCAACGCAGGCCGAGCTTTATGCATTCTTGTGCTCTGACATAAGAGATGCAGTGACGGGCAGGATGTCCCCTCGGGTCCATCGGTTGAATTTAAAAAGGTGAAATTCTCACTTAGGGGATTATAAAAAGACCCCCTAGCTCCTCGAGATCTGTTTTGGATTCAAATTATGATTCATTCATTATGATTCATTAACTACAATCAGATGCTTCTTAAAACAAGAAGATCCGGTCTCTCGTTTACGTCATTTCTGTTTTGATGCAGGCTCACAAGACTTAACGGTTATAAATAAGCCACGAGTGTAAACTCTACGCGGAAAGAATTAGACATCAAAGCAGAAGTAGGTCGCGAGATGCATTCTCCCGACCGCAAATAGGCACTTGACCAAATTCCACAGGACACCAGGAGCGGTGAGTCACCGCACTGAAAGTACGGGGGTTTCCCTCGACTCCATTCACAGAATAGTTGGCCCGTTTGTGAGGGGGCCCACGTCCAACAAGTGTCGTCTAGCTGCAACAATGTCAGGATGAGATACAAACGCACAAATCTCAACGTAATTTGACTGAAAGCACAATTGAAAGTGAATTCAAATGCAATACATGCAACTGCTGTAAGGGTATCAAATGAGCTGCTGACACAAGACGGTACATACTTTGTTCCTGCTTGTAGAGCTCAAACAATTAGTAAACTAATAGAAGAACAATCTGCAATACATGTGATCATGTTTGATTGTCTGAAGTCAGATTTCAAAGCAAAAATGCCCCAAAATTCACTGGTTCCAGCTTCTAACATCTTCTATCTGGATTTCTTCGACAAAAATAGACATTGATGTAATCAATTAAGTCTTTTTTGAGGGGAAATGTGACAAGAATCGAGTAGTTCCAGTTCCTAAAATGTAAATAATTTATAGTTGTCTTAGCCTTATACAATATTAAACTGAATATCTTTGTGTTTTGGACTGCTGGTTGAACAATAAGACATTTAAACATGTCACTTTCAACTGGAAATTGTAACTTTTTCTCAACCAAACAAATGACATAATTGTCAGACTAATAAATAATTAGTTGCAGCCTTGCCTGCATGGATAATAAATTAGTTACAGTTCTATAGAAAGCATTTAATAATCATTTTTCCTGACTGACACTTTGAGCTGCTCTCGGTGAAGTTGTCAGTTGTGCTCGATGACTACGTCTAAATTGAGGACTGACTGCTGCTCAGAGTATTTACAGTACCACTGAAACGTGATGCTAATGGCTGATGGATGCAGCGTGCTCCAATATAGTTGGCGGTGGACACTGAAGTAAGCGCAAGCAAAGTGAAAGCAACCGAGAGGAAAAGCAGCAGGGGAACTCCTGAATGTAAAAAGCAGTCAAAACATCAGAGACAAGAGAAACTACTTTTCTCCTGCAGAAACACGACGGCAGGTGAATTCAAAACATCTTCCTTCGTTACTGTGAATTTGCACCATTTATTTTCACGATTAGAAAATCATTTATTTATGAATCTTTTAGTCGGAAAATCAATTTTTAATACGTACTTAACTATTTGAAATGTATATTTTTGTCTTAATCCAGCATATCAGATAGCTGACACATCAGAGCATGCTAAAATCAAATGTTAAAAGGATAATTAGCTGGAACCAAATGTCAACTAATGTGTTTGTTGGTAAATAATCAGCAACTATTTTGATCATTGAATCATTATTTTGGTCAATTTTCCAGCAGAAAATGCAAAATATTTTCTAGTTCTAGCGTCTCAATTTAGAGGATTTGCTGTTTTTCCTATTTTACATATAATGGTGAACTGAATACAGCTTATTTCACTCTTTTCTGATATTCTACCAAAAAGAGATGAACCTTTTAAATCAAGAAGATAATGGGCAAACCAATCAATAAATGAAACCTGCTGGAGCAGACACATATACTTTTGTGTGTGTATATATATTATATATATATATATAT